AGATTTGATCGGTCTCGTAGCGTCATCCTGCCTTCAGCCTCGATCTCAGATGCAGATAAAGACGAATCGTCTCTACGGTCTGGCCTCGATTCATTTATATCGTTGACTTGACGATCTGTCTCGATTACATCGCTAACCTCTTCTTCGGATATAGGCTCGTAAAAGGATTCCTCCGCCTCTAAAAATGTTTCAGCCTCTGGCACGTCATCTTCACTCGCAGTTTCAATCTCTGCACATGATGATTCAGCAGCATGTTCATCTTGCTGAGAAGACGATGCGATACTTTCATCATGACTTGTCAATGTCTGCTGGATGTTGCTCGTGTCGGCCGGCGTGTAACATTCATGCTGACGAGGAATGACGAAGTCAAACAGGGTGTTGGAATTTTTATCAGCAGTTTTGTTCTGATTGGCAACAGGCTCGTCAATCTCTTCAAAGTGACCCAATAAAGGATTCTCATTAAAAGTGACATCTCTGGAACGAATCAGTTTGAAAGAGTTGCTGTCCCAAGTACGGTAGCCATTGTCAGAGTCATATCCAATTAATATTCCTTTTTGTGCCTTCTTGTCTAACTTCTTTCGTCTTTGCTTGGGAACATGTGGATAACAAATGGATCCTATTATTCTTAAATGACTCAGTCTGGGTTTCTTCTGGTGCCATAACTCATACGGTGATTTTCCATCCACAGAGGTTGGGCCTGTTCTGTTTAAGATGCACACCGCAGCAGATATCATTTCAGCCCAAAGTGCAGGAGGAATTTTTGCATGTGCGTACATTAGACTCCGCGCCATTTCCACAACGGTCCTGTTGTCTCGCTCTGTTGGATTTTGTTGTGGCGTATAGGGCATTGTCAATCTTTGCACAATACCTTCCTTCTTGAGAGTAGCTTGTACCTTCGCGTTGACAAACTCACCACCGTTGTCGCTAAGAAGTTCTTTTATGACAACTCCTGATGCTTTTACTTCAGTAAGCATAAGTAGCAATTTCACGTGTACTTCAGCTTTTTCCCTCATAAAATACACAAATCTGTACCTTGTATAATCATCTTTGAAGAGAACAAAATATCGCAACTTTGTGATAGAATATGGGAAGGGTCCACAAACATCAGCATATACAAGTTCTCCAGGTCTCGTTGCTTTCTCTCGGGTCCCAAACTTAAGTCTATGGGATTTGCCATAGATGCAACCTTCACAGAGTTCCTTGGTTACTGGTACTTTTATATGAAACTCATTTTCAATCACCTTCTTCACATGGCTTTTATTTTGATGTCCAAATCTTTCATGATATAGCTGTAACAAATTTGTGTTTGTGGACACCTGATTGACTCGTACAGTTGGTTCCAGACATCTTATATTAATTTTAAAAAGTCCTCCAAACTTGCTGCGGGTGCCAATCAGCTTTACCTGTCCATTAATCTTTAGTGTACATTTTAGTGTGGTAGATTCAAAAACACTGTTGTCAGATATGTCGTGGGTTGCAAGTACTGAAAATAAATTCCTGCTAATGCTGGGTACGTACCAGACATTCTTCAGTAGTATCGGTATTGCATTTCCGTTTACATCAGCCTCTGCAAGAATATTTCCGATGCCTAGGGCTTCAATATATTGGCCATTCGCGCCAGTCACTGTATGACGGCTCTTGAAATATTTGAAGGTCTGAAAGAGATCATTTCGATTGGTAACATGATTGGTAGCCCCATTATCAATGAACCAATTCTCTAAATCTTTCCTTTCTCCAAAATCAGCCGAATCTATTGTCATAACAGTCAGGTTCGTGTTTGCGGTCTTGGTTTCCTTGGGCGGCCTTCCATCTTGGATCCACCGCTTACAATTTCTAACTCTATGTCCCTTTTCCTTGCAATAATTGCATTTAGGCTCGTTAAAATTCTTCTTTTTCTTACCCTTATTTGTTTTTGTATACAAAGCTTCTGCACTAGTCTCCTCTGTGACATTTGTGTCTTGACGCAGGACTCTCTCTTGTGCACACAATTGACTTGTCAGATTTTCAACTGATCTTTCCATTTTTGAAATCAACAGCCAACTGGACTTAAAACCAAGATATTCTGGAGGTAATGTATCTAGTATCTTGCATATTAAAAGAATTTCAGGTAATTTTGTTTCACTCTGCAATTCCGTACATAGCTCGCTCCAAATATTCTTTAAAATTGACACATGTGTAATTATGTCATGTTCTGGGTCCTTTTTGTAACTGAAGAATTTCAGGCATAAGTTGTATGTCTTATCTACACACGTACCTCCATAGGTGCGCTCTAGCTCATCCCACATATCTTTAGCAGAATCAAATCGCAAAAACTTTTGTAAAATATCATCTGACATGTTTGTTGTCAACAGAATTAAAATTGCGCTATTCAAATTTTCAAAACTTTGGAGATCTTTTTCATAACTAGCCTTTGCATCGCCAGTAGCCGAAAGCGCCAAGGATGGTCTTACCTTCTTCCCTTCGAGGATGAACATGCCTCCTGGTATTGCCTTTAGCACGATTAGAATTTTGAATCTCCATGTTTTATAATTATTGGAATCTAGTTTCCCAATTTGAATCTTACTCGCATTTAATGCTTGCTCCATTGTTTACGCTCTGCTACCACTTTAATATAATAAAATAAAATATAATATGGAAAGCAAGTTTCTGTTATTGACAAATTTATTCTTGACTACAAATTAACAACAGTTGCTAGGTAACATCATCATATTAAAGATAGACAATTTGTAACTGATGTATATAACCTTCTTAACATTTTTAGCTTCACCTGTAGGTATGTTTGTTTGTAACCGACTCCTTTCAGCGTGATTTTGACTAATTTTAAACGGTCATAATTCGTTCAAACTTTGTAGATATATCGAGAACCGATGACAATACACTAATTTAAAATAAAAAATAAATAATATTAAAAATAATAATAGTTTAAAAGAACTAAAAAGCACGCTTTTTATAGAAAACCAAACTAATTTAATAAATTTGAAAAAAATGAGTTGGGTGCCTGTTGTCAATAGTAAAACTATAATTTTTTTCTTTTTTTTTTTATATTAGTGTGTTGTCATCGGTCCTCGATATATCTACAAAGTTTAAACGAATTCTGACCGTTTAAAGTCAGTCAAAATTACGCCCAAAGGAGTCGGTTACATACAAACAAACAAACAAACAAACAAACATACAGGTGAAGCTAATAAAAGCGTGTTAAAAACCACCCCAGGCTTTTTTTTTCAAATTTATTAAATTAGTTTAGTTTGGTTTTGAATTATTATTTTATTTACCAAAACAATTCAATTATTTCTAGGGGACCTCCGTCCTCCATAAGCGCAGGCCTGGGGGTGACAGGTGAGGCCATCTGTCACCCTATCAGCAGCAGGCCGGGGGACGGCGAGCGCGTTGCGAAGCGCGCTCGCTTCCAGGGTACAGAGGGAACATGGGGTTCCCACACGTCTACCTGTTGTTGTAGATGGCCCGAGGTATGTCGGGGCACCAGGGACTTCCTTTCTAGGGTATACCTGGTTCCCCGGCTATTAGTACCCGAGACGGCGTGCGGTTTTAGTCGGTTCGAGTCCGATATGCCACCGATAGGAGGTATCCGAGGGGATTTCCGCACGCAAAAAAAAAGGGACTCCTAAGCTGCTTGAACAAAACACCTCATTAACTTTTAATTTCACAAGTCTTTTAAGCATTTGATTTCGTCATTTACTTTTTAGGGTGCTCTCTCTTCTAGGGTCATTTAGTGCCAAAAATTAATAAAGATTGGCATTATGTTGGATAGCGTAAAATAAACATTGTTACTACTGCTGCTTGGAACTTAAAATATTATCCCAACTAAGCAAAACATATGTAGGTACAGCAATAATCTTCTATACTTAATAAAAACACAATTTCTTAGTTTATCGTTTCTTTGAGTATTGAGTTTAGCCATAGGGCAATAGAAAAACTGATATTTTAAGTGTTTCCTGATTTGTGACAAAGTAGGACTTTACATGCAAGTATATAAATATTTATTGGCTGCCTTTCCACATATTGGAAGTTATTATCCAACATTATTACTTTAGATTCGGATTTGATGGAACTCGGTATGGTTTTAGTGGGTTGATTCCGACACCACTTCACCGTGAGCCCAAGTGAGGTATGATAAAAAGGAGCCTATTACTTACACAAAAAATAATTTTAACAATGATATTAAGTAGGAAGTAATAAAGAAATGAGACACAGCTAATCATTCATTTTATATTACACCAATACCTACATTTTCACCTGTCTTATTTACATCTACTATGAAATAAAACAGCATATTTTACTTAAGGTTTTCAAAGGTGAAATAACCATTAAAATCAACTCGCTTGAGTTTCACATATTTCGTCATTATAATATAGATTCATTTTATTATGATAGTCTTTTGATACTACATAAATATCACAAAAACAAATTTATGTTACAATTAACTTTACCTAGACATTAGAAGAGTTAATATTTCTTCACATTTAAACAGTGGAGGATGTGTTGTTTGGTTAACATAGAACGGCCTGTCTACAAGATTAACTTGATAAACATTTAATTTTATGTTCATGCACATCTAACAAGAGAATCAAGATGTTTATGGTCAAGCTTTGAGACAAGTATCTTAACTTATAAGTTAACCAGTTTTAAACACACAAAGAAATAGACATATAGAGGTTAGGGTATCCCATCTGATAATGTTAAATAATTTCAGAAAAATCACTTCTCAAGTTTTTATTAGAAGGAATAATAATGACAAGTTTTTGACTTCAATCTATGTATAAATAAAAATACACTGCAATAGTGATGATCTTGACAAAAAGTAACTACACCATAAACATCAAATTTCTGATTCTAAGCAGCCTTAGCCTCCAGAGCCTTCTTGCATAATGGCTCCGTACTATATGTATTTATATTTTGTAATTTAACTTAAAATATATATCTTTTAGTACATTAAGCCTAAATTTTATTTTAGAAATAAGAATACTAGGTACAGGATTAAATTACTTTTCCTCACACCACTCATTCTCCTTACGGACTTGATCTTCTTCAGCTGCAGTGAAGTCATTTTTAATGTTGAAAGTTTTTCGTATTTCCTCAGGAGTCTTACCCTTTATCATATTGGCTACTGTTTTGCATGTTACGTCAAGTAAACCTTTGATATCTAAATAGTTTGCAGCTAAAATTAGTTCAAACAGTGTGCCTTGATCAACTTTCAAAAAGTCTGCGTCCCATGATGAAATGTCGTCTGTCCGTTTTTCTTTGTTTTCATCGTCTTCGGGCAATGGTGGGTCATCTTTATGGTAAGTAGCCCATTGAATAACTTTTTTTAATATAGCAGAATTGACATTCGGCAATGGAACAACTTCTTCCTCGTCGTCTTCCATTCCTAAATCTTCGAGCATAGTTTTAATCGTCACTGAACATTTAGCTATTTCGACGTCGACAGTAAATATTTCACTGTCGGATGATTGTAACTTGATGTTGGGCATCTGAAACAAATAGTAGGTACTATTAGTAAAATATGAACAGACAAATAGGACGCCATTTTTTATATTAGGCACCTAGTTTATACAAAAGAAGTCTACAAATAAAAATGTACAATTACAATATACATTCATGACACACTTACTCTGAAATTAGCGATTAAATCAGTAGGTAGTTATTTTGAATACGCGCTACGAGAGATTTTAAAAGCAATCAAAAGTAAATACTCAAAATGATCACAAAGAGAACTAACGTCTGATAACTAACTCCTTCGGCTACATCCCATTTACGATTTAAGTTGGTTTGGCTTGAGACATGTTAAAAAAATCGATTGTGTTGGAAAACATCGAATAAACTTGCAAGAGGGTAACTTTAATTTCATTTCTTTAAATTGAATTCAAAAACATAAATATTTTAGTTTTATATCAAGATAAAAATATGATTTCTTTTACTAGCAGTATTAGCTGTCTTAAGTCTAAAGACCTAATTATATTTATCAATCTTTGATTAGCGGATATACCTCGAGAATCGGTCGACGAGCGCCAGCTCTTCATTTTATATTTATGTTATTTTAGTTCTATGTATATTTTTTAAATTAAGTATTGAATTCGATATTTTATTGCAAATGATAACTATTATTGTATTTAAAATTTGTACACCTGATATTTTAATATTAAGAAACAATGACGGTAATAGTAGTATCAAATATAATCAGTCAGTAAATAATGAAACTTACTCTTATTATATAATAACACATTATAGGAAAACCATGTAAATTTTATTTTGATTAAATTTGATTCTAGGTAAAAAATAATAACATTTTGAAAAACTAAGCTAAACTCACAAACTCACAATAGGCTCAATCATTTGGGAAAACATCGATGAAACAAACTCAGGTCCACTCATTTAAATTATTGGATGGTCAATACTTAATAAATGGAGTATTAACAGTTCTATTAGTATTATGTTGATAATTTTTTAAAACTGCTTTATATAATTTAAAGAAAAATAACATTTTATTGAAAGAAACTTTATTGCACAGAAAAAAAAAACAAACTGAAAAGTTAGAAGAGAACAATTTAAGAAAGTAAAAAAGAGAAAACTTAGCGAATATCGACTAATCTAAGCTACAAATTGTTGGATGGATATTAAGTTTCGGTGGCATTTCTCCACAGCAGTACACCATCTGTTTTAAAATTTTAAGATGAAAAAAACTAAAATGGATTAATTTTTCTATTTATGACAAGGTGTGCTGCAAAAATGTGACTCTCATGTCTCCATTACCTGACTCACGATCAAGAGTAATAACTAAGAATTTCTTGGTGTCTACTAGTTCTAGCTCGTTTTTTTAAATATTTTAATGATTATCACCTTTTAACATTTGGATTTTTAAACCAGTCCACTAAACTTTAAGCTTTTTCTCCATTAAGAAGTAATTTGTTACTGTTAAACCAATGAACCACTGCCAGGTCATTATTAATATTAACTGCCTAAATTCCGTTATTTAGATGAGAAGTGCGAAGTATTAATGCATGTTTTTAAAAGCATAGTAATATAATTTCTATTTTGTTTAGAGTTTTGTGAATAATGTAATCAAAAACCTTCACCACAAACCCCAAACTCATGAAAAAATTTTACAAAACTCTCCTTTGTCTCAAGATAATGGAGTCCATTATCAACTGAAAGCTCCTACGGTACTTTTGAAATTGGTATGTAACGATAGGTATACAGGAAGGACTGTGTTAGAGTGGAGACCGCAATTAGGCAAACGTGTATTGCGTTCTGCGGCATGATGGATCGACGACTTTGGGAAAATGGCTGGCATCGGGTGGATGCCAACAGCCCAAGACCTGGATGTTCCTTATCGCGCGTTACACGCTCAGAGCGGATGGGAGCGAGACCGAAAAATGCGTAACAAGAGTTTTTTCCCACACTTCTTGCTATAGTCAAGAACTTCTGACCTGAGGTCCATAGACCCCTCACCACATAGACCCTTTTACATATACATGTATTTAAATGTAAATATGTATATATCTGTCCGTGTGGTGACGGATTAAGAATACAGATTGTTACCACCCCCAATCATCCCGTGGGTGTCGTAAGAGCTGGCTAAAGGAGCACACAACGCAGGACAACAATACTACTATAGTACATTAATACTATAGTAGGCCAAAACCTCTTTTCTAATGAGAGGCCTATGTCCAGCAGTGGACTGTTAAAGGCTGTTGATGATGATGTATATGTATGATCATCATCAGCATCAACAGCCTTTACTAGACCACTGCTGGACATAGGCTTCTCCTTAGAAAGAAGGTTTTGGCCTACTATGTATGATATAACTAAAATAAAAATTTGTTTCAGTATGGGGCTAATGCACTACCACCAGTGGAATATTGAGTTGGAAGAATCAGCAACGCGCATGTAAGTGCATCTGGAATTGCAACGGAATTATCCTACGACTGGTGTCCAAAAACTTCGAATCTAAGAAAGTCTATCCTAGGTAGGTTAAAAGTAGTAAAATACGGAGTATACTGAATTGGAAAGTAGTGTATTAACAAATTGCTTAAGGATTAATTATAGATAACATAAAATAAATCGACTAGGTTAACGACCACTTTGTAAATTGCACCTGTTTTCTTTAAGGCCGAGCTTTCTTATTTACTAACTGTTAATACTTCGATATTCTTGATAATACGGACATATTATCTTAGATGTTTTAGAATTAATGATGAATAGATGTTTTAGAATGAAAACAATAAATGTGTTTTTTCTATGTTTACAAACCTGTTGTACAACTTATGTCCTAGAATTAATATTACCTTTACCTATATACCTTTTACTCTGGAATGAGTTACTGTACCTGCTATATCGAACTTGTATTTTAATTTGAAGGTAGTAGTTGAAAGTATGTTGTTCGATGACATCCCAAAGGTTTTTAAAATCGAATAAATTGGATGGATTTCAATAATTATTAGTATTATCACATCACTATAATGAATGGAGTACACGAAAACATGGTTGTTTTTCAGCTTTCATTGGAGATTAATTTGAATATGATCATTTTGCCTCAGTTTTGATCCTTATTTAATAATTATGAAGTAATTTACAATAACGTAAAATATAGCCATTTGTTATGTATAATATATGTAAATAACCTAGCGGTTAGCGTCTGAAAGTGCTTCTAGATGGTGAAGTTGTTATTAGAAATAATCATGCATTACATGTACATTCGATGATTTAAGTAAGTGGTATCAATGGTTTAATACTTTCTCTGTATTCTTTGTTTAGATTAACTCATTTGAGACTGACCGTAGAATAAAAACAGTGTCAACATTTTGACGTGTCGGATTTTGGTTTTCTTGTTCGGCCGCCATGTTTGTCCTTTTATATTTTACAAATTGAGATATTGTATGGTTAATTGAATATTACTTTTTACTACAAAAAGTATGTTAGTTCAGAATTGTAATTTTATGTTAAAATGTAATTTCACCAGTTTTTAGTAGCCCTAAAAAAATAATGATTACTCCAGGTTGCGTCCTTTGTTATCCAGGTATTCAGGATGGTTGTTGGTTCGGCGACGTACCCAGGGAGGCAAGTGCTTCACAAGATGCAACCTATGGGCATGACTCCTCGTGAGTTATCAGAGTATGATGATTTGGCTACAGCACTCATAGTGGACCCATATCTTGGCATAACTACACATAAAATGAACATTCGTTATAGGCCTTTGAAGACTAATAAAGATGAATTAAAGAGTATTATTAAAGAATTTATGCAAACACAAGACTATAATAAAGCATACACAAAATTAGCTAATGGAGAGTGGATGCCTAGACATTTTAGCAAAAATAAACACCAACAGAGCAAGCTAAGGGAACATGTCAGTATCTATTTAATTCCATTCCTGTTTACATTTTATTTTGTAGCTTTAATTATTTGTACTAAACATTAGTGTGTCTTTATTGTTATTTCAGATTTATCGTTATTTGAGAGTGTTTGACAAAAAAGCAGGATTTGTTATAGAGCCCTGCTACAGATACTCTTTAGAAGGTCGAGTTGGAGCTAAGATATCCACAACAAAGAAATTTTTTAAGCATGAAAGGATTGATTTTCTAGTTGGGTGTATTGCTGAAATGACTGAAGAGGAAGAAAAACAATTACTACATCAAGGAAAAAATGATTTTTCAGTTATGTATAGTTGTAGGAAAAACTGTGCTCAGTTATGGCTTGGTCCTGCTGCCTATATCAATCATGACTGCAGACCTACTTGTACCTTTGAAGCTACAGATCGTGGGAAAGCCTTTGTTCGTGTACTGCGAGACATTGAAGTAGGAGAAGAAATTACCTGCTTTTATGGAGAGGACTTTTTTGGAAATGGTAATTGTTACTGTGAATGTGAAACTTGTGAAAGACGAGGTAAGGGTGCATTTTCTGTTAAAAATGCACATAATGATGAGCAGTCTACTAGATACAGATTTAGAGAAACAGATAATAGAATAAATAGGACAAAGGCAAAACAAATACAAAAGAATGAGAATGGAAAAAATCCTGAAAAATCTCAAATATCCAGTAGACAAAACACAGACATAGTTTCTCCACTTAGCATGAAAGAAATGAAGCAAAAAGGCTTAACTAAGTATGATGCTGAACTTCTAATAGCCCAGGGTTGTATTGCAGATGTTATGGATGGACCTGTAAACAATGAGGCACACAGTAGTAGGGAGTCCTCTGCTTCAAGTAGAGGAGAGAGGTTGCGGCGACGCACAGACAGCGGTAGAACTACAAATGGTGTGTTGATATCTAATAGTAGTAATGTAAAACGACGTGCACCTCCTTCACGTTGCTGTAGTACAACCAGCTCACGCAGTAGTCGTGACTCCCACACTGGTATAGTTTTGAGAAGTCACAAACGCTTACTTGATAGTTGTATGCAGGCCACTTGTCCTAAAACTAAAAATGTATCTAAAGTAGGCACTGAGGCCAAATTGGATAGAAATCTTAACACACCAAAAGCAGAAACTGACTTAAATATTTTAGATACAAACAAAGTAAATATTAAAACTGAAACATTACAAGAGAGCCACCAAGAAAATGTTGATTCTGTTGATGTTATCTCAGAAAAAACTATACACTATACACTAGAAAAAACGGAAGAAGATTGTGATACAAAAGAATCTCTTTTGCCATCAACAGAATCAAATAATTCAACTGAAGAAAAGATTGAAACATCTGTTAGTGATTCCAATGTTCAAGAACAAATAGTTGATGATAAAAAGTGTGAAAGTGACAATGCTTGTGTGAAAAGTGAAATATATGATTTTAGAGAAAATGTTAATCCAAGTGAATCTAAGGATAGTAAATTGAACAAGAATCAAAAAGTAGACGTAACTAATAGGACTGAGGAATCAAGAAAAGAAACTGACTCTGGTCCTCCCTGGCTGGCAGACAACTCTAACAAAAGTAGTGAGTGTCCATGCACTCCACCACGCCGGGGGCTCAAGTTGACATTACGAGTGAAAAGGAGTCCTGTAGTGGAGGAAGTAATGGATTGTGGTAATGCAACAGAGGCGACTGAATATGAAGTATTACGACTAGAGGGTGTTGATCCCGAGACAGCGCGGCGCTTAAAAAAAAGGCGTCGATCTAAAGAACGACATCGTAAACACAGCCCAATCCGTCCTCTGCCTCCAATGAAACGATTAAGATTAATATTTGGCAATGAGAGCCGTACTATTGATTTGCCAACTGCTATTTCAGCAGACTGACAGCCGCAACTACCTTATGGTTATTTTTCCACCGTTATTATTCAATTATTAGTTTAATTGACACTGATTAGGATTATTATATGTAGTATTTATTTGGTGACGTGAAGTTCGACATTCGACATTTGCGTAATGTGTGATAAGTATCAGATTTTCATTTGATGATTCCATGAAATATTTATTAAACCAAACATTTGAAAAGTGCATCTTGATTTCATTAGTGCAACTTCATTTCTTTAAGGCCCAAGTGTGACAAGTGGGTCTATAGTATCATAAAATTATAGAAATTAACTTCACTTTCTTTCTTGTATCATATTTTTTCCAACCACAACAATTATCCAAAAGCGATTCAATTTTGGTTCATTGTTGTTGGTATTGACTTAGTTGAAGGTGAAACTGAATTCACTGTGAATAAAACTGCCATTTACAAGAATAATAAGTTTCTGAATTTTAATCCTTGGCAATTATTAGTTCTTACTATTCAATTTAGAAAATAGGCTGACACTGGTGGACTTGCTACAGGTAGATCTCATTGCATTGTATAATTTATTTGTTCTTGTATCTATGTCAATGAATTGTGTATATTGAATATGGTATGGATTTTTGATGAGCATAGTGAAATAAATTGTCTAATTAAAAACTAATTATTATTATTAGTAATTATATAGTGGTAAAATTCCATTTTAAATTAACAGCAAGGCCTCAAAAGATTGAATTAAAATAAGTCCATGATTTATTATCATAACAGAGTTCTTTAATTTAATCTTCACATTATAATAATTAACAGAAGTATGCTCCACCGGGAAAACACTTAGGTCCTCATTCATTTAAAGTGTTTTGTGTAATGTGAATAACTGTGTTAATATGTACAGTTTCATGTTGATTCTATGTTATAGGTTTGGGAATTAAATGTCACCCAGATTAGAAGCATTATGGCTATTAAAAACTGTTCAGCAGTTGTAGGGTCATAGCTGTAAATAACACTGAATTAATTATTAAAATGTTGAAGATATATTTGGAGTAACTAAAATAAGTGACGACTTTAGAGTGTAGGTACATTTTATAAGGTGATGATTATTTTAGGAACCCTGATCAAAACTTCACTTACAAAAAACTAGAAACTATGTTTTTGTTCATTACTTTATGTGTTGTTTAAATAGTGATGTTTAAATTCTTTAAAACCAAAAGGACTGAATAAATAATAAAGCGTTAAAATTATACATAAGTTTAATGTTGATAGGCAGATGATGTATAGGATCATGTAACAAAATTTAGACATTTTTTCTAATGCATAATTTATAACATCTAAGTGTAATTAAGACTTATTTGTTAACTCTACTAGACAGGATTCTTATTGGATATGATATTTGCACTCAAGTACCTACCTCTATGAGTGGTCATGTTACAAGCTGTAGAATAATTTGTGTATGTATTTTATTTTACAAGTATTGGCTGTATTAGAAAATTTATGCACATAATGCTATATGGTCGGACTGATATTCTGCAGAATATCAGAAGCTGGTTCTAAAACTAGCTATTGTGGTATTCCTTATTGGAATAGTTGATGTAATAAAACTGTAATCTAGACAAAAAAAAAGTTGCATATTGTTGACCATGAAATATTTTTCATTTCAATAATTATCAAAATAAATTGCCTCAGGTTTCTTTCTAAAATTTTGTTTTAATATTTCCTTAGAAGAAATGAATGCACTCAGACTGATGTCAAATCATTAAATTGGTGTTCTGAAAAACTTTGGTTAATACTGCAAAGCCACTTTACTACTATAGGTATATATTTTAAAATGAAGGTACTTGAAGTTGTCTAACTTGCATCAATAAAAGCCTACACATTTCATGGGGTGAGGGCTGAATGGCAAGAACTTAGCTGCATGTCTCTTGCCAGTACGATGGTGGGCGCAGCTACGTAATGTCACACACTTGTTGCACCCTCACTTTTAATGATAAATAGAAAAGAACTCTTCCTACATTAGCACCACTTAAATCGACACAGAATTGGTGTTACGTGTTACTACGTTGATACAAAGCGTATACTCCTACCCATCTCATTGTGTCAGTTGTGTTCGTTATGCGTGTAGTGTGGCGAAGGAACGCACCTTGAGCCGTGCCGTGTTCTTTAGATGTAAAACACGAAGCGGCACTGCTCCGATGGCTTGAGTATATCAGTGACATGAGTTCTGGGATGACATGCAAAATATGAAATTGCATAAATAAAGTTTTACCCAAAAAATAAACATTTTGTGGTAGACAGGTACAATATTTACTGGTTTTATGGATTTTCATTTTTATTACAAGAGTTCCTTAGTTACATTATAAATGTCGCGAAATTAATAACGAAAAATTTAGTACTTTGAGTTAGTTTATTAACAACTTAAGCAATATTGACATTGGTATGCCCATTCTCAATATGACAAGCTGTAACTTCTGGCTGGGCCGGGCATAATACATTGGTTAATGTCCATACCTGAAACAGAAAAAAAAATATATACATGTGCTTTTCTCTTGATTATTCTTCATGAAGAAATACCTTATATCCTTATCAAGAAATATTTGCTGCACGGATGTTAAAATTACTTATTAAATACTTATTGACTCGAATAGCTGCAGCGGTTTACAAAAATACTAGTGACCAAAGCTACCACTTGAAACAAATATCATTTTATATAGCCACAACCTACATTATTAGGACAGGGAGGAATGTTTGTCAGGCACATGGCTATTACTAGCAATAACTTAAGAGCCTAGGATCTCTATATCAGTAGTCTTCATAAATGGGCATACAACTAGGGCCCACTTGTAACAGACCACAAATGTAGGTGTGGGGGTAAGGTGTTACAATGTTTGTTTAACAGAACTTAAACAAACATTGTGCGCAAAAAAGTTTCACTTACTTCTGGAATTCCCATTCTCTGTTGTCCAGCGGACAAACTTGTCTAGTTTTTAGCCAACGTGAGATACAATGAAAATGGAATGCATGCTGGAAAAAACATGAGATTTGTTAAAAACATTGTAACTGAGTAAAATACTGAAAGTATTATGTTATTGAATATTTTTACATTACAAACGCCCCAAGCAACTGTGCATTCATCACTAGTAGCTGATGCTTGGTTGGCTTGACATTCTATGCACAAATCCATAATGTGGTTACGGCAAATAGCACAGTTGTCCACTACGATATCTGTAATACAAAGAGTATTTCGATTAAGTAAAATTAGAGCAAAAAGTACCTTGGAAAGGTATGGACTTAAAATATTTTTTTGCAAGGGTTATACAAAAAAGTATTAGTAGGTAGGTATACGTACCCCAGGCCCACAGAGCAACAGCATTCCACTAGAAATGAAAATAACTGGGTTAGAAACTATATTTAACAACAAAGAAATGCCTTCCCGTCGCAATGAATAAGCGTAAATCAATTTACCTTCTTAACTTCAAATCTTTTTTTATCACCCTTTCCACTACTCGAAGAAGCCATTTCGACTTCTTCTTCATCTACATCCATTACTGAGGCCATATTTTTCAAAATACCTTATTTTTAAGATTTAAAACGAGGAAATATTGTACACAAATTTGACAGAAATGACAGCGCGCTATTGAAGGCAAAGACTGTTTCTATTGCAAAAAAATTACAAGTTTGTAACATTGCAATTTGGATTATGTCAGTTGGAGTACTGATTTGGATAGCGAACTGAAAACGAGACTGGAAAGTTAACGTAAGTTTAATATAAAGTGCCAACTCCCATTTTACAGCCTTATCGATCGGTCAGTAAATCAGTCTGTCAGTTTCTTCTTTTATAGATTGGTAACGTTTATGTTAGAACCCTGCTATACGTCGTGCATAAAAGTTTAGTAAGGCTGTAATAGTTTTACTAGTATTATGTACAGTCGCGGTCATAAGTCCAGTAGCATTTCTACAAAGTTGTGGCATTATAACTAGTTGGACTTACGATCTTCTTCTATAAACGTATATCACACACACATGCGTATGATTATAGTAACTAATTGAACGTCAAAGAATACAAATCGTTGATTTAATATTTTAAGGCGCGTCGGCGTCGCGGCACAGTCGAGGCGTGGCGTTTATGTAGAGTCCCTGGACTCTACGGGCGGCTATGCTTCCTTCATACATTCCAATTAATTCCGTCCGCGCTTCGACGCCGCCTCGACTCCAGCTCGTGTGGGCGACGCGCCGTAACTAGTAGTCACTAAAAGTTGAGGGTAGATTTGAAACAATATGAATTTACTGGCTGTTATAAATTTGTTATAACTTCGGTTGGTAAAATCAGGTATTGCTACTAGTGACGTTTATATTGAATATATGTAAAAAGCAAGCTAATATTATTAAAAATGCAAATCGATATATTTGTATTATAGCCAAGGCTAACATTATAGTTTTGCATAGCAGTGGGGTTAATTTATCTGAAATGAATAAAAAATGTAATGAAACCTGCATAAGTGTACGTTATTTTAAGAAAAGCATATTAAGAATTATTTTTTAAAGAACAGCTATGCGTTGAGTGAAAATATGGTTTAGCAAGCCGTTACTTATTAACCAGTTTCAGCGACGGTTTATAGTTGGTGAATATGAAACATATGGTTTCATACCAACTAGATTCCAATTAAGTCGAGGTTTTGAACGACGTAATGCTACCTACTGTGAACAATATTTATCCCGTGAAAGACATCAGTGAAAGTGGTTTGTTCAAGATAACTGTCTGATATACTTACTGTGTTAGTTGTTAGTGATTGGTTTCGTCAACATTCCGATGTTAAGGTTATTCCATGGCCACCTCGATTACCTTATCTAAACCCTATAGAAAACGCATAGAGTTTGGTGGCCTCTATACGTCAACGTCTTTTTAGTTGTTTTAATAACAATTGAGATCACATTATTTATTATAAAAAATATTTGTTAAATTTAAATAGAAATACCTACTTAGGGGATGTGCTCGTTGTGATGGTAAAAAGTTAGTTAATGATAGTATAGAGGTTAATTTTAAATCTTCATTTCCTTGAGAAAATTAACAAATTAAGCTATAAACCGCTATAAAGTAACAAGAACAAATTGTATAAGCAATCAAAATGGTATACGGAAATATAATACTTAAATAATATTAATAATAATAAAATCTTATAAAAGCATTAAACACATACTTACTACAAGTATACTCCTCAATCTGTATTAGAAAGTAGCTCACACAAACTTTACTACGACCGCGCCATCCTCACCGATAGAACTATCCACGTACCATCACCATACCATACCATACCAACCATTCGTGTATTTAAACCTACAGAAAGCAGCAATATTGAACACTTGCCGAACAGTCAGTTCATGGATATTGAAGAGAACGGAACAGCACAACACACAGCAACCACCATCTACATCTACATAACAAAGACACACACCTCACTGTATTTACTTGGTTTTGGCCCGTAAATACAGTTGAAACCAGCCTTGACCTGAGAAAAATTAAGATTACAATAATAATAATAATAATCCACCACATTCACACAACGCCATCTAGTCCCAATTTAAGCAGAGCTTTTACTATGGGTACTAGACAACTGATATAAATACATATATACTTTTTTTTTGTAAATACATACCTATTATACATAAATGTCTTTATTTTCAAAGTATGGTTTGTTTTAAAAAACTTTTTAATTATTACATATATTATCCTTTTTCTTCCATAAATTCAGTCAAGGAACAAATTTCAAAAAATATATCCTGTCATGAAAAGAAAAATAACAAAAAGTCAACGAGCACTGAGGATTGAATCATCTCCACTCTCGAACTATAATCAATTACACAGTATACTTCGCTAATCGTACGATTCTGCTACTATAGTTAGATAGAATTAGCAAATCCACGAATAAAATTGATAGCTTCCATTTTTTTTTATCCCTTAGTTGACAACGTAACGTATTAACGTATTCAGTTAAGTAGAAACACTGAAAAAGTCGATTTACACCAATCGCAGCGCTCGGCAGTAATGCCGGAGTGTACACAGCTGGGCTTATGGCACGGTTACTCCAAATCAAAACCCAGTAGGTGTATTTTATCAAATTTTAAAGAAGAGCTGAAAAACATAAAATGGACTAGCTTTACAAAAGTATTAGTGTTAAAGTAAAAACAGTGATATTTCTTCGATAGAGTACTAACTACTGATTACAAAATAAGTAAAATATTATATAATAATGTATATAGCATGTTTTATCCCCCTTATTAACTTTGAACAAATTCAACTTTTATCTCTGTCCTGATCCGTTTGAAAACCTAGTACAAACTATTGAGACAGAACGGGCGGGGTTGGGTGTACTATAATAGGCCAAGATCGCCTGGAGCATACTCAAACCTGGTACTCTCTCCTGTCCTGAGGGGGAGAGCGCAACAGTCGTGTAAATCTCATGTCATGGTGTCATCCTTCTCGTGAAACAAACCCGTAAGAGGGGTTGAAGGGATCCTGGTAGTTGAAGGGTCACAAAGTTCCAAAAAAAAAACATTATCTTGACATTTCTTTTTTATTTTGAAGCAAACAATTGAAGAAATCTTTTATAAATGTCTACATAATTTTTCGTTCTAAAAATCCTCAGACCTTTTAATGGGAGCATTTTTGGAGTCCAAATAACATATTCCCAAAATATCTATGCGTCCGAATATTTTTATTTCGAACCCTTACATTTTTAAAAACCTGTAGTAGCTTTTCCCACCGCTGAAAGTGGAAACATTATATGACTTTTATTCATTCTATTACCTAATCTTTCAAATGCAATAGGTCCCCATGACGCTCGAGTAAAGCCCCATTTAACATCATGGGCTCCCCTACTATAACTGGAGGCTATAAAACCTACATTTTAATTTGGGGTCTTAATATTGATTAGAACGCGAGTTATAAGTTTGTTTAAAACAATTGGCAAAGAAACTATTCAACCAATCGGGATTCTACAAGTTTCATTATGCATTTTTTGTACATTAACACTTTCTTTAAAAACGTGATAAACCTGTTTTGATAGTTTTGCCATTTTTCTAACAGTGTTCCCATGAACGGATCCGCGTTGAAATGAACTATGTAATCGTAACGTTGTTAACTAAAGGATAAAAAAAGAAAATGGAGGTTTTCAATTTCACGATTTTTAGACCTATTTTCGGCTAATTCTATCCGACTACTAGTTCTAATGACTGTTTAGATGAATTTTTGCGTCGCCTTCAGATAGATGCTGCCACCAAGAGTTTGATACAAAGAAAACCGATAAGTAGGTGTGTTTTATCTAGTGTTGTGCATACATGCATGTGACCAACAACTTTCGTGCACGTCAGTATTGTCTGGTTATAATGTTTCTGTGCATTGAAACATCACACACGCAGAGATAGGCACAGAACCGGTGCGCGCGAATATGAAAATTACGATGGTACTGCACTTATGGCCTTTGACTGTACATAGGCAGCGTAGTCATGCATATTATGGGGAACACAGTTTTAGTAAAGTTTTGAATCGCCTTTTCTCAAAAATGATGAAACTTAGGTGAAAAAGTGTAAAGACAATTTGTAGATCTACATTTTTGTCTGACTTATTTTTATAATGAAGTTAAGCGTTATTCCACTAACACTAATCCAAAACCCCATTTTGGGATCGATGGGGACACAATTTCATTATAACGGTATCCCTAACGTTCATGCAAAAATTCAGCTTCTTGAGAATTTATGTAAATGTAAATTTTGAATGGACTATTAGTTGATTTGTTGACTTTATCGATTTGCACTATTAATAAGAATGGGTTATTTCCTAAATAAAATGATTTATGTTAAAAATATAAAAATTTTAAAAAACTAAATTTTGTAAATAGCATAACTAAAGAATAGAATCTAATTTTGCTATTAGTTTAAAAAGAAAAACTCAGTGATAAAGAAAAAAATCTGTGGTAGCCCTAGATGTGCCAATCGTTGTAAATATTTTATTGGTAAATCTTGGTAGTAGTAAAATTTATATTGTAAAATTTTATTAAAAGCACCACGCTGTTTTACTTTTTCTTAATTGTTTTAATTTTAATTTTTTAGAATGGGTGAAAATCACGTTCAAAGATTCCGTTACATATATACATACGCTCGTAGATCCATACAGTTTTTTTAAATAAAGAAACTCCTACAATTGTCAAGGTTACCATACCATAGTCATATTTTATTAAACGATAATTAAATTTAACAAAAGAGATCTCATTTAAACTAATTATTATTAATCAATATCGTCGATTTGATTAAACGCCCCTGAGGCAAACTTCTAACAAATGACTTGCTACCGACTCATAACATATTAAAATATAGCTTATGTTATAATTCAGTTAGGCTATTCAATAGACTTCCTCTAGAAATTAAATGAATAATTTATGCAAAAGAATTTGACTACAAACTTAAAGCCTTTCTTGTTGAGGGGTGCTTCTATTCAACTGACGGTTTTATGATATGACATGCTAAAAAATTTACATTGACATTTGTTGAATACATGACATTCTACTGAATACTATTACCTCTTGACATAAAAACATAGTTAATTTGTACTTTTGACATTCTAATAAATTAATATTTTTGCCTGTCTAAAATTCAAATTAGTTTATCATTTGAATTGTGTTACTTATATAATTTATTATTTCATGAATATTCTTTTGGTTCTTTCTATTAAATTGAGACTAAGATAATAGTCTTTCAACACAATGTAATGTTGTTTACGAAATAAATAGATAAATATGCGTATTCTCTTCATATAAAATTAAATTAATGAAATGTATAATTTAGCATGTAGCTTTGTAAGCATAGTATGAATTTTACAAGTTATTTGATAAATTATATACCAACATGTTTTGATGATTAGTTTAATTCGAGTTTAACGCTCGAATCTAAAATGTCCCTATTATCTTATAATTTTCATTTTATTGTCAAATTAGGATTGGAAGTATGTGTATCTTATTTAATTTGATTTGTTTTCACAATATTTTAATATGATACAAATCTCAATGTAACTAGGAATCTAATTAGAATACAAAAGAGTTGTTCATAATATGTATTTTTAATACAACGTGCTTATTGTTAAATCTAATAGTGCACCTTTCCCAGGCTTCTTACGCACTTCCGTCGATTTTGACGAAGTTACTTGAGATAGCAGGAAAGCCACAGGTAAAAAGGATGAAGATAAAAGAAAGATATTATGATATTAAACAAAAAAAAATAGTGCATTACACGAAATCCTATCCACTCGAATTCAATTCGCATTTGGTCCATTTTATTTTCTGGAAGTGGTGGCAATAACTCCATTGTATTGAAGTGAAGGAATGGGTTTGATAAATATTTCAAACAAAAAAGGGAATGAAAGTTAATTATCATAATAATTTCATAATAATTTGTATTGGTCAATAAATTATTTTTGAAAAATACTAGTTGGTTACAAATAAAAATAACTCTAAGCAGTGTGCTGATTTTTTAATTCTATGTCTTCGACATCTACGTTATTATTGCCTTCCTTTCTTCTTTTATATGAATTTTTCCATATTTCATAAAAACATACAGTAGCTTGGAACCTATAGCAAACTAGCAAGGGAACCGAAACGTGAGTTATGAGCGTCCAGGCCCAAACGCCATAAAATTCCATCTAAAAAAAGAAAACATATAAGTTAAAAATTGATTATTTTGTAGCTTGTCATAGTGACTTTCATTATTCTCTTAGTCTATGGGCATGTAGAACGAGGTGTAGCTACCCATTGTATTCGTGACATAGACGTAGGTAACATCTTCTTTACTTCACATACAAGATCTAAGTGTCAGTTACTTTATTTCGATAAGGTAGTAAGATATTAAATTTGAACCCAAAATATATTGTTTTCCACATTACTTAATTTTTCACCATTAGGAGTGGCATTTTTTTTCTTTTAAATCATTTGTTTTTGCTACTCGAGATACATAAAACATATACGGATACATTGCAAAAACACGTCATTTTTGTTATATAACATTTAGGCGCAATGTGTAGCAACTGCATACATATTATAGTATAAATAACAATTAATTTGTGGGGTGCTTTTTACTATTGACCACAGGCACCCAACGCTTTTTTTCAAATTTATTAAAATTTATTTTCTGTTTTTTAGTTTGATTAGTCTAGTTTTAAGAAAAGGAATGATCTGTTGCTTCATCCGTTTCTCCTGGGCAACATCCCTTTTGTGACTTTTAAAGTTATCGGTAGAAATAATGACTGATGTATGATTTTATTCCTGGCGCCTTAGCAAATTCAAAGAAAACTTAATTTTACATTTCTTATAAAAATTAAAAATAAACCTGTATAGGATGAAATTCTGCTCTCGCATTTTTGACTCGATTGATGAGCCATAAATGCGAAGTTACCCACTAAGAGAAACGTCACTAGTTGCCGGCCGGGCCTTTGGCGTCCTGTGCCTCTACAGCGTCGCGACCACGCATCCATCACTAGGAGAGTCTGGCACGAACTTTGAATGACGGCACATAAGGGTGATATTATTCTGTAATCATAGTTTATTTCCAGTAATATGTGATTAGGGCTGTTTGTCATGGCAAGGTAAAAAGTACAAAAAGTAATCTATATAGATATATTGGAGAAGTAACATAATGTTCAGGTGCATTGAAAATATTATTGTTAATAGAGAGGTTTTTTTGAGGATGGTTTACTTTTTTTGCATTTTTACGCGGGTTTGGACAAATATCAGAACCAGGTAGTGCAAATTATTCTCAATGAATAGGTACGTATAATTCTGCGCTGTCTGAACTAGTGAAAGATTGTGTCGTAGGAATATAATATTTAGATACATATTAACTTTAAATGGTTACATATTACCTACTGTATTAAGTATTTCTTATGTGTGTTATTTGATAAATAAAAACCGCATCGAACGAAAACCATGAGCTCCGGCAAATTACACATTTATTATAATTCCAACTACTGGAAAACTGTTTTTCCGTTGCGTTGCAAATAAAAAATGCAGCTAATTAATTACTCTTATACTTGTTCATTATCTTCTAGAATTGGGAATATTTACCTGGTTGCTCGTGTTTCCTCTGAATACCGATGGATGACGAAGCCAGCTCCAATGATTTGGAATAAGTAGTAAAGGTAGACTCCACATTGTGTAATCAGTAGAAGGGAATGCTCTAGAGGCAACGTAGTTACAGATCGTTTCAGTGGCAGAGTGCGCATCCTCTGTATGCATGCTCCCGAACCGATAGCCATTATCAAAAACAGGATAGTTTCCCATACATTGATCTTAAATAATAACATATGTATAAGATATTTTATTTTAACATAATGTGGAAAAATAAATTGCTACTAGACTACTTTATGGATACTCAACTAACGGAGCTGTAAAATTGAAATTATAACCCCTCTGTTAACGCACCAAAAAATGAAATCTTTTATGTCATTTATCAAAAGTTTATGCGAAAATCAGTCTTCGAGAAGTAGCCCTCAAGAATCATAATCAGAATCATAATAATAAACTATTAAATTTGTGAATATTATAAAAACATTTCTTCTTGGATGATGTGGTTGTGGTTCTCACAATATTTGTCAACTAAATAGGCTATGGTGACTTTGACATAATCAAAATGTATACCTGTAGTAAGGCTAATTCCATGTGTTCTTCTTTGTGGAAGAGTCCATTGAACAGCATGAGACTGACGATAGTACCAGATAGAACAGCCACACCCATGAAGAGGCCTTTGTGTGCGCTGCCACAGTCTACTGAGAAGTGGTTATTTGATTTAGCTCGAGCACAACATTGTTTTTTTACAGTTAATGGAGACACCGGTGCCTGTTTTTCTTGTTTCTAGAACAAAAATTACGTTATGAAATTACAGAAATTGACACTATTATAGCTATCGGACATAACCCACAGTAACGTTTCAATCTCATATTAATGATATAATCGTGCAGATACATAAATGTAGAATAAAACATATTATGGATAAATTATGCCCCCTGTAATAAAAAACTTTTTGTTTACTCATTCAATAACAATTCGACAAGAGCGAGAAAAATAGTTTTTCCAGTAGTGTATATATGCGTATTATATAATTTACACATATGTATTTATATATATGAAACTGCTTACCGAACCAGGAACAGTACAGATATCATTCCAAATAACTATTATGATGATGGAACATAGGAGGCTGTATTCCACTCCACACGGCCTCAAATACGGATTGACACTTTTAAGTAGCGGTGTAATCATTTCTGATACGTTACAAGTCCAAATCTGATTTTTTACTGTTATGTTGTTAATCCAAGACTCATTTGTATCTATAGTCCAGTCTTTTTGTTCTAGGCTTATATTAATTTGTGAATAGTTTGTGGGTATCAGTTCACGTACAGTTATGTTTGCGTATCGGATGAATAAAGGACGATCGTACGCCATTGCAATAATGTCGTCTCTTGTTTCTTGGATGACGACATTTAACCATTCACACACATTTGTTGCGATTAAATGCATAAGACCAAATCTGTCGATCACTACACCTCGCATTGGACCTAAAGTCTGAAAAAAAAACTTTAAAAGCTGCAATCAAAAACGTATCAATTTTCTGTTTAGTTTATGGTTAACGTTAGGTTTTAATACAGGCTTTATAAACCGCTTAAATCCTTTTTGTTACTTTAAAAATAACACATTCATACTCTATTATAAAAAAATACATTAGTTAAAAAATGACAATTTAAGCAGAAACAATCTAACAAAAAATTATGTTAATATGGCAAAGAAGCACACAGTCTTGAATTAAGCGTTTTAGACGACTACTCCGCTTTCCCAGGCACATTGGCCATTTAAACCAGAGATAAGAATACCGCAATAAGCAGACAAAATAAGAATCAATAGAATAAGAAAGACCCAAAACGGCATGACTCATCGTACCATATAAATTACACTTGCCTTGATAATATGGAATTATGATATTATGGCGTCCGTAAATGCATCTTCTAGATAAGGAAATTAAATAAATGCAATAAACAGTTTCCTAAAAATATTTTACTTACTTTTGAGAAATTCCGAATCAGGAAGTGTTACGTCTGTATTATAAAAATTGTACTTGTTAGCGCTTACAAAAATATGATCGAGTGCATAATAGGGATTTCGTGATTGACATATTAGGGGATTGTAGGTTCATTACCGTGTTACAGACTACAGAGATATGGACGGTCAAGGTCGTCCGACGATTGTATATTGATGAAAACTATTGGTATATTCAGAGGCATGCAAGTAGTCAAAAAGCCACATTTTAAGGGATGTTTCACTAAGAAGATCATGAAAGTACTATTGTTAAAATTGAATAAAATAAAAATACACATAGTTAACTACGAAACTATTATACAAAATATAATTCCTATACTAATACATATTTACACATATTTTATTGTAATACCTACTTGCTCTGAGATAAACAACGACGACAAAACGACGGGCCTGTTGGTCTGGTGGTTAGTGACCCTGACTGCTAAGCCGGAGGTCGATTCTCACCCACGACAAATAATCGTGTGATGAGCACAATCATTTTTTCTGTGTCTGGGTGTAATTTATCTATATTATGTGTGTATTTGGAATTTTATAAGTATGTTTATCAGCAGTCTGGTTGCCATAATACAGCCTCCGCCTAATTTGAAATCAGACGGCCATGTGAGAGATGTTTAAAAAAAAACTTATATTATAGAATGGAAATTTTGTTATGTATAAAACACTCCATATAATATTCTGTGGTGCAATATTTATATACTGCATCACAGAATATTAGACTTACGTACGGCTTACTCTACGTTAAGTCTAAATATATATAAAAGCAATACACTCCGCTTAACTAAATACTTATAAAACATATCACATTGCTGTTGTCACTATTATAACAAATAAAATGTTGGCATCAATCTACAGGTACGTGTCACTAAGTCATAGGCCTTAACAAACATGCATTGTTTTGTCCACTAACATTCTTGAACTCATAACTTTATAGAAAGTATTAAAACTACTCGACTCATAAAAAACTTTTCACAACTACCTTACTAACTACGCTAATAGGTAATATATTTTTGTTTAGAATTGTATTTTTCTTTGTATTGTTTTATTTATTGTAATGTTTTGAGAAAAATAAATGTTTTTAACCGCAAGTTTAGACATGTTTTTCTGAAAGGGTTTAGGACTCCTGGGGTCCTTGAAAACTAAAGATTAGTACAGTTCCTATCCCAATGCTTACCCTACGCATAATTGTACCGTGCCTACGCGCTTTTGATATATTCTGTAGCTGCGTTCATCTATACGAACGTAACATCTCACAAGTACTTTAGTTGATTATTAATTTATTTATTTACACATCATGCACTTTTGGTGCATTGGCGGATTAAATAAATGCGAAAGTGTGTCCATCTGTGTGTCTGTCTGTTACCTCTTCACACTTAAACCGTGAACCGATTTAGATGGGTATAGAGATAGTCCGAGTCACGGGAAAGGACATAGAGTACTTTTTTAGCCCAGAAATCATACATTAAGGTAGTGAAAAGGAGGGTAAAAGTTTGTATGGGGTATCAAGAACCGCTGAACCGATTTAGGTGAAAGAACAATGGCAGAAACATATTTACCTAAAACTTAAGCGTTTAAAAAATCGAGTCACAGTAAACTTAATCAAATTTTTTTCTATGATTTATCATTACACCACCATGTGTTGTATAAGTCTTATAAGAGATAAGATATTTTTGAAGATTTTATTTGACCTAAGTACGTAATGTCAGATTCGCCATCACGTATAACTGACTAGGGATGCGTGGTGGCAATATTATATTATGGAACAATTTATCGATAATCGATTCTTATAGCTTTGGATGAAATAATTACCGAAGGTTCACTATTATGATTATGAATTTGCTTCTGCCCACGTCTTCACTCGTACTAGTGACTGAATCAACATAATTAGAAATGATTTAAAATATTTTTGACTCTCTTTAAACGATTTTAAACACACTAAAGAAATAGAATATAGTTACGTTATTTTCCACTACACAGTGTGATGAGAAAAATACATTGTCTTTGATAACGGCACATAAATAGACATACATCGATATTTTCAAAATGTCGATACGTCGTCGTTTAGTACATATCTCTTAATCTGTGGTTTAGATCCTGTCAAGTTCCGGACTCACCACGTTTGTTATTTTGTTTTTGTTTAATTTAGTGTTAAACTCGAATAGATGTTATGCTTTTATTTTATTTTTTTCATATACTGTAATAATAACGAAAATAATATTTTCGGCTATCTGACACACAACGCCATCTAGTTTCAAACAAAACATTAACAATATGTTAGTACTTAACCTCGAAACATTCAAAATCCAATATCTTTTTTTCTAGACTTCTTTCGCAAGTAATTTTGATATGAGAATGGTCAAGAATAAATTCTCAAGTGTTAAGGATTTTTTGATATTTAAACGCTAACATTTCAGTTCAAATAAAATTATGTATGGGGACCTGCCATTGTCCTTTGGTATGGAGATACTTTGATTTTAAGGAAAGACATATGCTACTTTTTACCGCGATAGCCGACATTTACTACTGGGGCGGAGCGACGGGCAAAAGCTAGCTGTACTTATATATAATGTAAAACAAATGTTTAAAAGTTAATAAACAAAACGAATGTTTGAAGGTGAATTTGTGTCTGGGAAGAAAAGAGAAATTGCAAACTACACTTTAATCTATGACAAAATCACGCTTATATTAGGTGTCACAATTTTTATTGTTACTTATTGCTGTTAATTACTTCATGAGATCACAATTTACTGTGGAAATCTGAACTTTCTCTTAAAATTTTCAATGTGTATAATTTTATTATATTTAGGGTTTTGCTAAATATTTGGGTAAACAGAGATTGTTGCTTTTGTGTGTGTTGATGTATGTGATTTTAGAGTCTGTATAAGAGACGATTTCAAACAATTTTTTTTTTATGAATAAAGATTGGCCGTTTGATAAGCATAGGGTTGAATTTAGCATTAAACCACATTAAATACATATTTACTTATGACTACATACAATACATTTATATCTTATAAATATACAAAATAAATGTTTAGTTGGTTTGCGTACGATTCTAAAACTCAAAGTTCTGCACCGATTGACAGGATCACTCACATTTTGACACGATTTATAACTCGATTCATAATCAAATTCAAAGATGGTTTTATCTATTTGTGGTGTTAGTTTTATTCCTAATTTTTCATCAATGTTACCACAATATTAGACCAGTCTGTCTATTTTGAGTTAATGAGCCCCATGTTAATTTTTTACTTCCGAAATACAAAAAACAGTAGACAAAAATATGTAAAAAGTAAAAAAAAAACCGTAGAATTCAATGAATACAAGCAACTGACATCACAGATACCAATAGTAAATTGGACCCAAAGTTGGCCATAAACTGTTTTTTCTATTTTAATATCGAAGAGCGAATCGAATCGTCGATAGCCCAAACATCTCCGATCGGCTCCATCTCTTGGCGTTACGTAGAGATGTGGCTTCACACTGCATTTTCTATCGCATATATCATAAAGAATGCTCCGAGGAATCGTTTGGATTGATACCAGACGCAACTTTCCAACACGGTGAAATTTTCCTCCCCATCACCTTGATAGTTGGCGCTCCACTACTGTTCGCTTTCCGAGACACTTTTTGCCTCGCACAATGAATATGTATTTTCAAACCTTCGAGGAAAGAGCATATTCCTTCCTAAAAGGTCGGCCACGCGTTTGTGACTCCTGAGTTGCAGATGTTCACAAGCGGCGATGGTCACTTTCGGTGGCCCGTCTGCTCGTCTGGGGATATAAGAGTTTAAAAAAAACGCAATTTTTAACGGGTTTTTTAAAATAAATAATTTATTTTAAAATTGATCAAAATACGCTTTAAACAGATCGATCCGTGTTCAATAGTTCTATAACTTTTGTATAAACTTTTTTTTTATTTGATGGCGCTATTACATATTAAAATGGAAAAACTGTTTTTAGCCCCCTTTGAGCCCATTCAAAATACAAACAACTAACATAATGTCAGTTGTTCGTATTTTTGTTCATTGAATTCTACGTTTTTTTTTCATATTTTTGTTTATTGTATCTCGACTTAAGAGTCAGAGTTTTTTTTTTTTAAATAAATAAAATATTTTATTTCTATGAAGTGAGCTATTGCCGCCACTCGGTGTTGTTTAAAAATAAATGAAAATGCTCGCTCTATCTGAGAAAACATACCCACTTTCATCATTGAACGTGAATGTACCTGTAATAAAATGCTCTTAACTTTTACTTACATCTGTAAATGAAAATATGAAGACAGTTTGCGCCACTAAGAACAGTATTCTTAGCACAGGCTTGACAGCCACCACGGTCATCTGACAGTCGCCGGAGAGGTCGAAGTAACCTCCGAACTGGAGGCAAGAGTGGATGATAGAACCTACTCCAAATCCTGCAACTCCTATATGAAGATAAAAGCTGCCATATCGGGTTCGTCCTGAATTTTCTAGAAAATAAAAATATGCTGTATAAATATATTAATTTACCTTTATCGTTTTCTAATTATTAGTTCTTGTATAGGTCCTTATCTGATCTGAAAATTTAAGCTAAAAAGTTATCCGATGTTTCAAATGATTTTCGCTATTACTGGCCGCTATCCGAGACTACGATCGGGATATTTCCGTTTGATCAGATTTATGCAACTAATAGCAATTTTTATTTTTTATGGGTTAGGTACATATGTCCGTAGTTCACCAAGTATCCTGCTTCAAGGGGGAGATGTCGCAAATTAACGAGGCGATGGGAAGTAAAAAAGTAAACTTCTATTTTTCCATTGGCAGAGAGCTCTGAAAATTTTATTTCTTTGGTTATACCGTGGAGTCCTTGAAACTCCCTGTGATTTTGCTCGGGTTTGGAAATGGGAAACTTAACAATACTGGTTTAGGAATCACCTTAGTCATTCAAGTTCCAAGATTAAAATGCCTTGATTTTACCGTTTTCAGGGTATAACTATTGAAAAAGTGTTAGAGTGGACATGAACGAGTGTCAATCCTAGTGTCCAATCCAAAACACACACATATATATATATATAAATTTGACACTAGGCACGCATGCCTAGTGTCAAATAAATATGTATAGATTTTCAAAGTACAACTCCCGCACTAGGAATAAATCCTGTGTTTTGGGGACTTCACAAACACACATGAAACGGACACAAAGAACATCCAGACTCAGAATGACAATTTGTGTATCACACAAAGTGTTGTTCCATGTGGAGATCGAACCCACAACAAGCGAGGTGACCGCTTAAACCACTACGCCATTCGCCACTACGTCAAAAATATATGTAATGTTACGGTTTGATACACCAAAAAAATACGAAAATTCAAATATTTACACTACACACTACAATGTATAGTCGATTCGCGTTAAGAAAATAGTGACGCAAGGATCAAGCCCCATCCCCTGACCATTGAGGATCCAAGAAAATATCGTTTCTTACGAAAGCTATGATAATGATCGGTCAGAGTGCTGGGCTTGATCGATGCGTCACTATTTTCTTAACGAAAATTAACTATAGTGAGTTGTAATCTACCGTTCCCGGCGGTATTACTAATGCTATACGTAACATGTTACGTAAATAAATATGTTGAAGACAGCACTTTAATAGAAAAAGTATATTAAATCAGTGTCTTAATAATCAACACAATACTCTTGGCCATCTCGACCACACGATAACTAGACCTCAACCTGGTAGTGTGAACAGCGCCTTATGATAAATATTATGTTGTTTTCTTATGGAACTTTCCAGGTGATGTAAATTTTCAGTCATTCGACTATGAATCAGAGACTGACTGATGTCTGTATGCGGATGAAGTGTTAACATGATGTTAACATGAAGTGTTAGGTACATAAGGCAAATATTTATGATATTCTGGAGGTTCTTAGAAAGTTAGATATCTACCGGCTAAAAGCTCATCATAGTTATATAGTTTAACTAAAATAGTAATAATTACTTTGTACCTGACAAAGTAGTTTTAAAGTAAAATTAGCCTTTCACAGCGTATTTTATCTACTACCTATAATAAGGTTGTAAGCAATACAATTAAGATGGAATCCCTATGAGTACTGTTTGTGTACGGAACCCTAATAACTACTATAATAACTACCTAATAACTACTATAGGAACTATAATAATAGATACGTGATCACGAACCTACATCCATTTCTCGTTCTTAAAGGATGGTAAGCTTTCATCTTGGAAGAGCTCATTAGAAATTTTACGCAGCATCAGCAAGAGGTCTAAAGTGAGAGGCACCGAGTAATGTAAGTCCATTCAAATTCGAGGTAAGGCAATTTGTAAAATCATGCTTTGCGAAACGGTGATCAGAAAGAATAATATTTATTTATTTATTTATACTTCCTGCAAATACATTGCATAAGGCGGACTTAATGCCATAGGCATTTTCTTCCAGCCGACCTTGGGGTGATGCAGAGATTTGTGTGTGGCAGGTGTATAATGAGATAAATTATTTAAATTGTAGTCGGTTGCAAGATGTTATACTACACAGATATACGGGGATAAATATATAGATGTAAATATAATTTATACGTACTATATAATACTATAAATATTTTAAAAAAACATAAACATACACACATACATATATGCTTGCATTGATGAACACACGAGGGGTTATTTTGATGACTCCGTCAACAAGTCTCCATAGAGTTTGCGTACTCTGATCTTAAAGGTTGTTCGGTTGGTGGATGTCCTGATCTCTAGGGGAAGGGCGTTCCAAAGATTTACCGCTTGGACAGTGAAGGAGGAATGGACGATACGGGAGTTATGTGAAGGACAAAGAAGGAGGAAATTATCAGCGGAGCGAAGGCTTCTGTCATGGTTGGAGCAGAAATATTGGAGGTGGGATGTTAAATAAGTAGGTGAGGTAGGTGTGTGGAGAAGGGAGTGCAACATAGTCAGCGCCCGCAAACTGCGGCGCTGTCTTATAGGTAGCCATGACAATTGCCTGCGATAAGCGGATACATGATCTTTCTTTCGCAGGTTGAATATGAACCGAATGCAATTGTTGAGAAGTCGGTCTAATTTATTAAGCAGATCTGCATTCAGGTCGAGGTAACACACATCACCATAGTCGATGATTGGGAAAATTAAGGTCTGCACCAGCATCGTTTTTGTTTTCACTGGGAGTAAATTTTTCAGGCGCTAAAGTCCCCTCAAAATATTCGTTACCTTCTGACTGACGCTAGTTACCTGCGTTTGCCAATTTAGGGTTGGGTATATGTGCAGACCGAGATCCTTGACTGATTGGCTAATGGGCAACACAGTTCCATCATAACGTTAGTCATATAGTAAGTGCATTTGCTCGTAAAAGTTACATACTAACCTTTTTCGTCTTTTTTGGCCATTTGAAGGTGGTAAAACGTGTATCCTAAAAACACCATACTAACGACATATAAATACATGGTGAACAGCTGAAATGAAAATTTAAACAAAGTATAAAATAAATTTAATCGATTCATGATCAACTTAAAAAAAACGTATTACCTACTTCAATGCGCCTAAATTGTATGAAATTGTATTATTCAATATTATATATATATTTTCTTTCAAATGAATGAAACCAACCTTAACAACATATTTAAGTTCTTGAAATCAGTATATAAATTTTAAGTCTGATCACAAATGGCAAAGATATCGTTTAAGATGCACATAAAAAACATTTAAATTAAGAATCGCCGCCGTTTTAAAGTCTGTTAAAAATTGGTCTAATTACTGTTTGAAAACTGATTGAAAACTGTACTCGCTATAAAATATGTCAATTAGACCAATTTTAAAGATATCGATCAAGTAGGTATACTCAAAATGGCCATTTTAAGAAATCCAAAAATTATTACTGAACATCCACTGCTGGACATAGGCCTCTCCTTAGAAAGGATATTAATGTATTACTGAACATTTTAACTAATTAGTGGATTGCCTAATTTGATGAAAATACCATTTATCGAACATGATTTTTCTTTACAATGGTATACCTACGTTTAAAGATATAACTACTTACATCAGACGTCATGTTGGTAGATAGTTCATTTTGTATAGTGCTCGTAACTGGTAGGGCTACTCCTAAAACTATTAATAATTTAGCATAAAACGCTGACAGGACCACAGTCATGGATTCACTGAAACAATGTGATATATGGAATTAATTATCTGTTAATAAATTAAAATACTTCGTTAGTGAAATACATTTGATACTAAAATTCATGAAATTGAACAAAGTTTTGCGTGTTACTAAACAATATGATTTAAATGAACGTACTAAAAACCTATTTCTTACATTAAATTAGATTGAACAAAAAACAAATAAAAGATTTTTACAACAACAAAATTGTACAAATAAAGGTTCTCATCTAAAAATATTTGCTATTCCATACTATACTAATAGCATGGAATAAAAAATGTTTTTAGATTAAAGAAATTTTAAAAAATACAAGTTTATTCTATTCTAGTATTATTAGAATGTATCATTCTTACTCGCCGTGGGATAGCGGTTTTCTTTGTGACGACGGTGAGGCGCGCTGAATGTTTTCCATGCTGGAGCCATTGCTAGCTGGTAGTACCACACTTAGTCGAGGGAGGAAATGAGGTGGATGCTCTCTGAAAACCATATAAATTGTTATTTCAGATGTGAACAAATGGTTCCTCTGGGATTATAGTGCACATAAATTATTTTACTTCCGTTCACTTGAATGAAGGTGTTGTAGAGTATCCTAATATCCTATATTACTTCCCCAGTATTAACTTGTAGCATTATGAATGTCCAGATATAGTTAAAGTGCATGGGCTCTAACCTAAAACAATAATAATGTCCTAAGAAAGACGTTGTCGTCTTCGTTCTTTGGGAATGGATCTGACTAGGATTGTAAAAATGTTTGGAAAAATTTCTTCTCGAAGACGGGTTGTTCTTGAATGTGGATATGACTTGTATATAATATGACATGTTACCATTTGAGAGGTATTAACTACAAATTGGAATAATTATTTTACCGTACATAGGTTTTTACATTAGAAATTGAGACATGTGATCCTGTAATATAAACTTCGGAAGTGAGTCTGTTTGTTACGATTTTGGGCCTTACATATTTAACCAATTCACATGAACTTTTGTTTACACACTGCCAGAGTCACAAAATAGGACATGTATATACTACCTTCCATCAAGAAGAAAGTTTTGATCTCTGACGTTATTCTACGCTAGTGAAGCCGCGGGTAAAAGTTAGCTAAGTCTATAAATATATATATATATCCCATAAATATATATCCCAAAGAGGTAGACTTCACTACAGGCGAATGTGTGTTGGTAGGTTATTCAAACAATAAGACTCAACAGGCAGTTGTTAGTTTAATTCTTGAAAATTACGTATTAATGAAGAATTTAATTTGGTTTACAATGACATCACGCTGTAAGATAAGGCTAATGCAATCGTTTATCTTCGGAGGCCAGTGAGCAAGCTTCGCTTTATAATATTCAATAAAAATATACAATATATATAGAAAAGGGATACTGCTTATATGGATGCAGATATCCATAAGCAGTATTCCTTTTCTAGCATTGCTCTCCCTTTCTCATATACCTTTCCTTTTAACGCCAATGTTGACGCCCTATTACGCAAGTGGTAATCCGTAGGTGCAAAACATTGAAGTCTAATATACCTCTGTCTACCTTTTTAGAAATTTAGTGAGTGTATGTTTGATGTCTGTAACTGCTTATAATCACTCCGTCATCTGAATACGTCAGTACTAGGAACTAGACATACCGTAGGTGGCCAAATTATTAGGGACAGTGCTCGTATTTATGTAAATTATAGTTTATTATATTTTTTTGAATAAATGATTGTTGTTCTTAATTTATTTTATCTGATATAGTTACTGATATCATTATCATTGTTTTTTTCAAATGACAACACAGAATACGTGCGTCTTTTGTCAATTGTGTGACATTTCTTCTGTGTCCGTTAAAAAGCGCGGTTTGCGCTGTTGTTGTTGTATTGTCTAGGTATTATTTTTTCATTAGTTTTAACTGACTTTTGTGTCTTAAATAATCAAAAGGTAAGTAATGCTCCGTATGAGAACTTTTGCTATGTTTTGTCTATGCTTTTACAATTTATTTATTATCATGAAATGATGCATTGAAAAATTATCTTTATTTTTCCTGTTTTGTAATAATGTATTTATCAGAAAATCAAAATCTTTCAAAGCTTAAATTACGCTACTCGTAGTGTTCCAGCAAATTCTCAGTTGAAAGTTGCAAATGAACATCATAATTATAAAGAATCCAACAGAAAACTGCCTTTGTTGACTACTTATTTCTTTTCTTAGTTTTACTTTTAGTAGGTCGTTTGTCTATTGGGTTTATATCTAATAAAATTCTGTTTTAAAATAAAATATAGCTACATTTTGTATAAAGCCAATTTACCACGAAATAAAATTCACTATAATATTATATTGTTAGGTAACACAGCTAAAAGGAGTAAATAACTTGATCCCAGATTACATAAAGCTGTAGTCGATTAAACGCTATACGGTTGTTTTGTTTGAGCGAGCGCTTATCTCATAATAGTAGATTTTAATGAAGCTCGCCGACTCACCTTTCATCCTCAGGCACGGCGAGAAGCGGCTCCGACCTGTCCCGCAAATCGTTCGATGCATTTTGATTAGATTTCTCTTTATTTTTCGTCATCAAAACACTTTATTAATTTGCCATAAAACTGATTTTGATTTTAAAAATATACATAAAATTTTTACACTTGGATGTTGCAGAGTCTAAAGCAAATTAGGAACTGTACGCAATAGTTGTTCAGACACTGTCATCAGCCTCACGGCGCGTGTGTGTAAATAATTAGTCGCTAACTCACAGGGTTGGACAATTTTTTTTGGCAATATTCGATAAAGTTTTTATCAAAATAATTTAATGGCTTTAAATTTAGGATACCGTTCCACAAATGTTAGTTTGTAAGGCTTGAAACAGATCGCTTTAGATTAGAATACAAAGACTTATCTTAGTTCACGTTTCAAAAATAAACGTGACTTTTTAATTAGCTTGTCTCTTATGTACACTTCTAGTATTACTAGGTTTTACCGCACTTTTATTAGTTTCACTTGTATTTAGATACATACGCAAATTACCATGTAAACACTTCTTGTATTATGAAGTAAATTTTAACCTGTTTCTAATTATGTTATTGAAATCATACTTTGCATGAAAATGCAATACTATTTTTAACATCTTGGTATGATTCACTGTCGTAGTGAGGATCTTACGATGAAGTTCTTAGGAATGTAGTTGAATTATTTTTACTTTTTAATTTGGTCGGACATTAAAACATGTTTGGTTTAACTGAATTATGGTTTATGTTTTTATAAGTTTTTTTGGTATTTCACATCACATCAACAGCCTTTAATAGTTCACTGCTGGACATAGGCCTCTCCTTAGAAAGGAGGTTTTGGCCTACTATACCACGCTGGCCAGACGGGTTTGTATAGGGTTTGTGTCAAGTTTCGGTCGGCTCTTATGACATCCAAGGGATGAATAGGGGTGGTGATACTCCGTTTTCTTAATCTGTCACCACACGTCATCATCATCAGCCTATCGCAGTCCACTGCTGGACATAGGCTTTTCGCATTGCACGCCACTTAGGTCGATTTTGGGCTTCTGGCATCCAGCTTCTGCCAGCCATCTTGTCACCACACGTAATCTATATTAATATCATGAAGCTGAAAAGTTGGTTGTTTGGTTAAACGCGTTAATCATAGCAACTACAGGTTCAAATTGGTGCAAGTTTTCCTTCTTTTTGCAGTGCTGGTTTCTTGAATTGTTTTGCGCCCTTAGTCGGCTCTTACGACACCCACGGGATGAATTGGGATAGTGACATTCCGTATTCTTAATCCGTCACTACACGGACTATGGTATTTTTTGGTATTTTTGGTATTTTAAAATAGGGAAATTAAATACCTACACGTTACAAACACCCACGTTAACAAATATGTTCTGCCCAGTAAGTTGTAATTTGTAAGTATCGATATGATGTATTTTTAACAAATTTAAATTAACTAAAGAACGTTTTTCGGAGTTACTTACAATGAAATCCTCTTCCAGTATTTTCAGTTAACCCTCTCGTGTCACGTCATCCTTTTCTATGACGATGTAATAATTTCTGCGTAGACTTTCAATAAATTGCACAATCATCACGAAATTTAATCACTTTAATTATAAAGTATAATTAACGTAACCATTACGCCAACTTCGTTAGTCTTTTACAATACAGCTTATGGAGACCATACCGATCATCGAGATGCAACTATTAAGCTATCCGTGCGGTTTTATAGTGATAGGTTTATGTGAAAACTTGCCACAGTATATCCTCATATAGGTATGTGCAGATATCTAATTACCAATTCAGTAATTAGAGAAATGAATGAAATTATATCGTTGGTGTTAAACCATATCTCAGTATTGAGTCATCCACTAGGCAGGCCCTTTCCTGCCAGCAAGTGGGCCTGGTGGCAGATTGATTACTGTAGTAAAGGAGATGGGGACGGTTTTTTGTGATTTTGACCAAATAAAATTGGATAAGCCTCTTAGATGATGGTAATGACTACTAATGATGAATGTGACGTTGTTACCTTAGAATCTTTGTACGCAATCGGATGTCGGTCCTACAGATTTAAGACCATTGGATATTTCAAATTTACTTTGTTTTTAGGGCTCTCTTTCTCAAAAGGAAAAAACAGAACCATTTTATTCTTTGATCACTTTGTGGTCCGTCTGTTTGTATGTCTGTCAAGACCTTTTATCTCGGGAACGCGTGGAGGTAGCAAGTTGTAATTAAAACCATATAACTAGGTCTACGGTCCCTTGAATCTGTAAAATAATCAAACTCCACATTGCCACTTGTTTATGCCACAAAAACGCATATTTGGACACTGTCAAGAGAATCAAAATTCATTGGGTATTTCACGTTGACCTATAACTCTGAAATTTGGCAAGTAACATCATCTTATACTACAAGTACAGGGAAAATCTAAAAACTATACATTTGCAAATAAATCATAAAAATATAGTCTTTATTTAAAGGACGTAATCAATCATCAAGGTACAATTTCTTTTATAAAACTCAAGAATATAAATAATTATAGGTTATGGAAACTGAATTTTGGACAAAGCTCGGAAGAAACTGCGAGTTTCGATTCCTGAACTTGTTTTGTTTGTAAGGCTTGAAACAGATCGCTTTAGATTAGAATACAAAGACTTATCTTAGTTCACGTTTCAAAAATAAACGTGACTTTTTAATTAGCTTGTCTCTTATGTACACTTCTAGTATTACTAGGTTTTACCGCACTTTTATTAGTTTCACTTGTATTTAGATACATACGCAAATTACCATGTAAACACTTCTTGTATTATGAAGTAAATTTTAACCTGTTTCTAATTATGTTATTGAAATCATACTTTGCATGAAAATGCAATACTATTTTTAACATCTTGGTATGATTCACTGTCGTAGTGAGGATCTTACGATGAAGTTCTTAGGAATGTAGTTGAATTATTTTTACTTTTTAATTTGGTCGGACATTAAAACATGTTTGGTTTAACTGAATTATGGTTTATGTTTTTATAAGTTTTTTTGGTATTTCACATCACATCAACAGCCTTTAATAGTTCACTGCTGGACATAGGCCTCTCCTTAGAAAGGAGGTTTTGGCCTACTATACCACGCTGGCCAGACGGGTTTGTATAGGGTTTGTGTCAAGTTTCGGTCTTTGTTTTTAGGGCTCTCTTTCTCAAAAGGAAAAAACAGAACCATTTTGTTCTTTGATCACTTTGTGGTCCGTCTGTTTGTATGTCTGTCAAGACCTTTTATCTCGGGAACGCGTGGAGGTAGCAAGTTATAATTAAAACCATATAACTAGGTCTACGGTCCCTTGAATCTGTAAAATAATCAAACTCCACATTGCCACTTGTTTATGCCACAAAAACGCATATTTGGACACTGTCAAGAGAATCAAAATTCATTGGGTATTTCACGTTGACCTATAACTCTGAAATTTGGCAAGTAACATCATCTTACACTACAAGTACAGGGAAAATCTAAAAACTATACATTTGCAAATAAATCATAAAAATATAGTCTTTATTTAAAGGACGTAATCAATCATCAAGGTACAATTTCTTTTATAAAACTCAAGAATATAAATAATTATAGGTTATGGAAACTGAATTTTGGACAAAGCTCGGAAGAAACTGCGAGTTTCGATTCCTGAACTATATATGTATAATATGTACCTACAAATGTTCGCACATTCGCACTTATACAAACTTTTTATTTTTGGCCCTCTTACCTACCCACCTCGTACCTATTTGGTCCTTTCAAAACTTTGAGCAGGGATCAAAAGAATTGGTCTCCACGAAGGACAAAATAAGTTTATTACGTCATCATTGGCAGGCTGTTTGATTTGGCATATTATAAACAATATGATAAATACAATGAACGCAATGACGCACATCATTGTAAGTGTTATACAATACACACTAATATCTATGTGCTTTTGAAGTAAATAAGTTATGATGTGACTAGTGCTCTAGTAGTTACTATATATAATTCACACTTCTGTCTTTTGAAAATGATTCTGATGCATTGTCGAAAGATATTTTTGTAATGTCTTTGTAGCTTATTAATTAATTAATAAGTCTGCCATTTTAAGAGTGACTGTATCTTATCTCTTCGCTATGGTCACAAAATAACTAATTTTGTCATCAGAAATTAACAACACACTATAACTTTACTATAAGTTTTAGAATATTAAATGCAGGTTTATATAGTAAATGTCATGAATTCATTTTTTTCGTTTTCGGTCGTTCTATTAATTTCATATTTTGTTACATTATTTACATTCCATCTCTCACGTGCCTCTGAGAGCAATACAATTGAAGAGACTTGTGAGAGTCTGTCTTTTATTTCACAAAAGTCGAGAAATTAATTGGGTCTTTCTTTTCTTTCTACATTTAATTTCAGTTTTTAAAATAATAAATTCAAAACTAGTGAAAAAACAAATATTTAGCGTGGTGCGAAATATACATCGGTTAGAGTGAGTAAGATGTTGTCCTCATGGGTAATTAGCGACAGCGGTGTCACTTTCAGACGGTCGTACTAACGAGCCATACAATATATGCAGATGCAACACTCCCTACCTCCGACGTTCACCCCCTTCTTATCTCTAAGCGATTAATTAGCCTTCTATCTGGAGAAGCTTGCGACGAGTCTTTTAAATTATTTTAATTTGTTTTTTTTTAGTTTTAGATTTAGTAAAGTTGATTACAAATTTTTCTTTCACATTTTTTACTTTATTGTTGGAATATAAAGATGTTTTAAATTATTTGGATGTGATCCATGTAACTATGGGTAAGTTAAAAATTATTTTCGAACTTGTTCTAATATATATATTGCAAATGTGTATTAGATTAGTTCCTTTCAGTTTAGCGGGCATTAAATATCTTACCAGGTTCAGAAATCTCACTTTACTTTTCCGATATTAGCTAACTAGACTAGTGGATTGAGTGATTAGTCTTTTTCCCCTTCTGACCTATGTCAGATTCCACTTCTTTTCCTATTAAATGGTCTTAGATCTATTTTATCATAGCAGTCATCCGGATATCTACACCAATATTACAAATGTGAAAGTATTTTTTTAACTCCCGCTCTAGGAATATAAACATACATGAAACGGACACAAAGAACAACACTTTGTGGATCACACAAGGATCGAACCCACAACACTCAGCGCAGTTGGAAGCGGTGAGGTGACCGCTTACACCACTATACCGTCCGTGCAGTCAGTTTTGATGAATTAAGTTTTGTTACTCCTCAATCATGCTAAAATAGTGGAACGAAATTGAAATTTGGTGTAGAGATGGATTTATAGTCGGGAATAGGACATAGGTTACTATTAAAAAATTGATTGACAAAATTGACGTTACTGGTTTCGAAGCCGAGGGCATAAGTTAGTTGTACATAAATATTTGTTTCGAATTCATCATTTCTTGCGTCCAAGGACATTGTTGAAGATTTAATTATATCAACAAAAAAGAATGCGGTTGTGCACCGTTTGTATTTCAGTATGACATGACAAAAAATGATATGAAAATAATATCCCAATCATTGTAAAACTGTAGTCATATTAAGATTTGACAAAACTTAATAAATATTAGTAAGCACATATCAGGCACACACCGTGTTTGTATAAAATATTTGTATCTAAAGGCTGTAAAAAAATATCTAGTTACGTGAATCGGAAATATGATTTTGTATGATTATTTTATTTTTAATAATTAATTAAATGAAGAATAGATTTTAACTTAACTTAACTTAACCTTTTTACTTTCTGTGAGATGATGGAAACCTTAATAATAACTCCTCAGAGAGTAACATTTTTTCTTTTTTCCTTTTTCTAATGTCTAACCAGGATTAGAGGCTGTGGCGAATCTATGTATTTACAGTCGGTTTAATTCCGTCGTAATCACTGCTTGTTCCTCACTGTTGTGGTACTAGGAAGATTTCAGACAACTAAACGCACGGGAATAGACAGATGTTATATAGCCGTAAGAGCCATTTGATAAACGCGAAATGCGACTCGATCATATTCATGCCTTTCGTTTAAATCTAAACAAACCTGCTGTGGCGAAGTTTCCGCTCCAGGGTAGTAGTGCATTGTCGGTGGGGGTGGTAATAGTGAGAGCCATGCTCGTAAGATATCCTCGAGTCGTGTCTATCTGGTGTCCTTGGAATACAAGAAAAAAAACAATCATGATTTTTATTTTGCCCTAACTTTTACACCTGTTTGATTAACTTTAGGACTTACATATTTGTTTTTACATTTACCTACTGATTTTTACATTTAATGAATGTGCAGAATATTAATAATTATTACTTTAAAACCCCTGAAACAACTGAAAGATTGGCATAACTGCATTTGTAAGAACCAATTGAACGTGAGTTATAATGTGAAATTTAAATGAATGCTTTAAAATGTAAAAAATATTTTATATAAAGCGTTCTAAGCAATGTCTATTTAAAAAGTGCTTTTAATACGATATTGTCTGGCCAGTGTTAATAGACCTACAAAATTATCGTGATTGAACAAATTTTTGAGGAGGATATAATTAACCCTTTCAGTTCGAATGCCTTGCTCAGAGAAGAACCTCCAATAGTGGCATTACAAGTATTTACAATAAATTATAACATTATCAAACTTTACCTAATAAAACATTGTGCCCAAGTATGACAATTAGGTATTTCTGATGGTGAATAGAGAATCTTATTCTATGTGTTGAAGAGGACAGAACTACTTCACATCTGGCAAAGCGTTTTCTGAAGAAACAGGTTTTAAGTAAAATCGATACTGGTAAAGTGCAATAATGATTTACGCACTGTGATAAAAAAAAGTGTAAAAAAGAAATAATAGATGGATAGGAATTTGGGCTAGATATGATCTGTTAGTGTTAAAAAAACAATTCAAAGATGCCTTATACACTGTTTACATTTGCGCGATAATGTAGATGTAGAAGTATGCTATTTAAACTTGCATGATACCTTTAGTTATAGCATTTTATAGAACTGACATTTTATAGAATCTATTTATTAACATTATTTGTAAGACTCATGTTTTAATAAAAATGGCATGTCTTCTTCGACATTAAAATGGCATGTCATCTTGGACATTACCTTACTTTTATAATCTCCCATATTTCTAATTAAAATTTTCTTTACAAAATCCTATTTATTATTTCTCATCACATTTACATTTTAAAAAATAACTAATTTCGAAGACCTTTTAAGAAAGATTTCTACTGTTTACATTACAAAATACGTAGAGTTAAAAAATAACCTAGAAAGTTAAGAAGTGATTTGTTTTTTTATAATTTACTATCAATAGCGCATTTACTGTCGTGAGACACAAAATTGTATTCGTCAAAATGTAATATAAAATATTTACATACCATTCAACGCCTTCTTGTATAACTATGTCCATAATTTTTAAACAAAATATTGAAACAAGTGAGCGCAATGATTAAAAGTGAGACGTTCAAATCGTTGTAATCTTTAGATAGCCTTTTTTATCTCGACAAGTGTTTAAATGGTGAAGACTTTAATTCTATAAAACGTCACTCGTCAAAGTGTATAGTGAAATACTAAAATCTGTTTTAACATTCTATTTGTGTGTACGATAATAGGGTTCAGCTAAGATGCTAAAGACAGGGTAGGTACATTCGGCCCAGGAGTCACTCAAACACTGTTTCCAGATTCTGAAAGGTGTCTGAACAATTCTCCCTATAATATCTTGTGACCTGACTTACTACAGTAAGTATTCCATTAGGTACTTTATATATTCTTATTGCAATATGCTTACCATTAGTCCATATTTGAATTAGTGCATGTGCATTTTTTCTAGTTTTTATACTTTTTATTTAATAGTTATTCGATGACTCTAGGCCAACAAAAATCATGAGATTTACTTATTACGTTAATGGGTCACTTTTTTTGCAAAAATATACTGATGTACTTCAGTAGAAGGAAGGTCATATGCAAAATATTTTCTCATGAGGAAACGTATTCTAATTGTTTTTGGCGCCAAGTAAAAAAACTTGTAATAAACACACAAGTTTTAGATTAAGTTGACTTCTATCTATCTATGTAGCGGAATCTAACAACAGGCTTTTTACAAACATCAAGTCGTCCGAATACCTTGAAAATTTACGTAACAAGGACAGATGACATTACAGGAGTAAACAAGATAAAACATAAAGAAACCAAAAGGACGTGCGTTTTGCTAAGAAAGCGTGATTTTTATTTTATTCTAAAAACGGAATAGAAAATAATTGTGAATATAAATATCAATTCATTTAAATTATACCTAATTTAAATAATACCACCTTGCGTGTCGCGCCGTTTTCACATTTTTTTTATTCTTACTATTCCTTCTAAAACTAAAATCTTCATGTATTTATTGTATTGCGGCCTGGGGCTGGATAAAATCATGTCATAAGTAATAGTAAGTACTTATTTTAATCATGTAATCCTTTTCTTTAAGTATTTGTATTTTTGTGTTTTTATGTAGTTATTTCTATAAGAGAAAAATCCTAATGCTAGAACAATGAATATGTTCTAGCATTAGGATTTTTCTCTTTTTAAGAAGGGGAGATTTATAAGGGGGGGATAATGGTATGTAGGTAGTTACTAATAATGTTTTGTGTACTTACCTTAGTTGTCAGTCTGGAATAAACAAGGTCAAAGCCGGTCGCGTTTTATTGAAGAGTCCCCAAATAGATTACAGGGTACACCTGGTTCTAGGCAACTGGTACCCGAGACGGCGTGCGGTTTTTGGTCGGTTCGAGTCCGACATAACCACCGGTGGGTGATATTCGAGGGATTTCCGCACAGAAAAAAAATATGAAATACTTTTGAGCCCTACCTACCTACTTCTATAGTTACATTGTATTTTGCGATAGTTTTCATTTTAAGCAACATTTTCATTGTCAAGGATAATCGTTTCGTCGCCACGGAAGTGATCTACTAAAATAAACGAAGTGAAGAAATACAACAACAACACTTCATAAAGAGATATTCGTGTTTATCCGTGAGAGTAGTATCAGTGAGTTACCAATTTACATACCGACCATTCAATTTATTGGTGTAATATAATGGATTACACAAAGGTGTAATTCGATTTAATCACAGAAGAATTTTTAAGGAAAAGATAAGAGCTAAAAATAAACCAGAAATCTAGTACAAATTTGTTATATTCATTTACAATTTGGATCTTTTATCTTTTTACAAAGTAACAATATCTATTAATATTGTTTGTTTCAAATATTTTCCAATCATTAAATTTAATTATTTAAATATTAAGATAAAGCGGTTTATTCTTAAAACAATTCTTCCAAATTTCGAACAGACAGATTGTAGAATGAAATCTGTAGAAGATGGCTAGTGGCATTGACACGTGGGTGATGATAGTCCATGCCCAGGGCCCATAGAACGCCAGATGTTCGGGTCGGAATTCGGCACGGTTCTGGAAATATGAGTACAATAGCAATTAATTTTGAGGTTATTTTATTCCTTTTTAAATTCAAAAAACTATATAGAACTATATAAAGGACGATGATGTTCTCTATAATGACTAAAATGCTACATTTTATATCGTCTTCCTACTGTTGTAAATAAGGTAGATGAGCAACATTTCTAGCTCTGTTTCTGTTTCGATATTTGTGTGAATATAAAATATTTCAGAAAAATATCTAAGTCAATTTTATCAAATTGGGATGTTTGCAGATATTATTTTAACAATGTACTGATAAATTGTGTCAATTTATTTGTTGTATTATAAATTATGAGTATGATTCATGAATCTGTATACAATGTGATTTAATTTCATTATTCCATTCTTCCTCTTTTAATCTTGTAATAATAAAATATGACTTAAAGCGAAGAGACGTTGCTTTTTTAAGCTGAACTCTGCCAAGAAAGAGGTCTCTCTTTCTGAGTACTTTCTTCCGATTAAGAAAAGTTACCCTGAACTAAATGTACGTTGGGTTTAATCGGATTGAAAGGTACGTCATCCCTGAATTCCTTGGAGCAGTGGACTTTTCAGGTCTTCAGAGATAAATTAAGTGGTCTTATGTGAATAGCCGCCATAATTGTTATTATCGCAATATATACCACAATGAGATTTACTTTTCTAACTGAAACAAGTACTTTATTTACTTCCATAATCGATTTGATTATTAATGTGATCATTGCTGTTTGAGTATTGGTTACCCTAGTTACTGCATGTAGCTAGAGGATAGTGTTGTTCAGTAATGTAAACCTAAATAGTAAATGTTTCAATATAACAAAACCCTGGCTCGCGGTATTAACTCTTAGATCTTTTTATGGTGTAAGATCTCTCATTGTACATTATATGAACCTTAGATCGAGATTAAGCAGCGACCTATCTCTAACTTCTAAATATTTTAAGATTGTTCAAATATGATGATTAAACTTTAATGACGAGGATAGGTTTTATTGGAACCTATAAGTCAGATATTTAAAGGTGATGCCGAGAATGAAATATGAAATTAAATATGAGTCAAAAGATAACAACTCTGCAAATTCAGTTATTACAATTTAACAAGGTGACAAATGACTACTAAATTACCTTTTCAAGTGTATTGATTGCCCACATCGCCATATTAGCAACCAGAAGGAAGGTAACTAATTGTCGACCTGGTTTATTTCTTCTCTGTTCTGAAGTACCACTGCGACGCCACCACGCATCCACTATAAACAGAGTTTGGATAATAGTCTGAAAAGAATAATTTGGTTTACTATCTGGTTTTACTATTGGGTGATTGTTTGTTATTCTATTTATCATTCAACCAATTTGGCTATTGCAGTGCATTACTACTACTGAACATGGCCCTGAAAAAAAAACTGAAGTAATGCAAATGATTACCTGATTAAGAGATAAAAATTCAGAGAAGAATAAAGTCAAGCCACCGCTGTTTTTAAAGTGTTGTGTGTGATGACTTCCTATCATACTAAACATGCAATATACGAACATTCCTGATTGGGCCAATACTAGCAGGAACGGATCCAGACCCAAAATACCTGCAAAAAACACAATATTTTACTTGCAATTATAGAATATATTCTACTTATTTGACTAAGACGATCCATACTGAATAAAATAAATGTATTTTTTTTGTTTAGTTAGAGTCTACATTTCACATGAAGCTTGATATAAATATGTACAGTTTAATAACATGCAATGATAACAACGTACTTTGAGACTTCCTTTTATAAGTCAATGACCTCATTTGTATCAAAGCTGTTATTGAAGCCACTATAGACACCGAATATAGAATTAGTTCACAAACGTTAACTTCAAATATGGCATCCTGCAAAAAAGTTTAATCATTGAGTATTTGATTCATCCATAAATTTATGTAACCATAATTACATGAGTGTATACTTTACAGGCATCGTGGATGGATTGTTGGCCAAAACGAAAAACATTATAAGGGATATGATGGTGAAGACGATGACCAGGATACCAGCGAATAGACCTCTGTGAGCGTGCGAGCAATCTACTGAGAAATGGTGCAGCGCCACAGTACTGCCTTGACGAGAACTTACTCCAAGTAAACCAGCTGGAAAATAAAATGAATAAATATTATAAATAAAAAAAAAACTGTGACATACTTAATATGAATGTGTATTACCAAATTGTTGGAGAATTTTCTCAGGAGTTACAGAATTGCTGCGTGATTTATTTTTAATGTTGAACTTCTTATCAAAATCTTCTGGAGTGCATTTCACCTGAAATATTTAGATGTTTAAACATGCCAAATAAGACATAGTTCAAAATATCTTACTATTCAAAATATATTACATGGAAATGAGGTTGCCTGCCTGCGTGCCGACAATGTCACGCGACTTCGGTCGCACTGATTTTATAGAACGTATAGAACTAAAAAGCTCTGTGCAACGTGCACGCGGCTGACGATCACTGGTCGCGAGACTTACAGCGAGCAAACGTCAGAGGCAGATTGCGATAGCACAGCCCAATTTTTTGGAAATTATTCTAATCTAATATCTATTTTATTAGTAATCTATCGTAATAGTAATATAGTAATAGTAATCTATTTTATTATAATAATGGATGCAGAAGATCTAATAGATGTACTTAGTTGTTAACCACGCGGCCCTTTTGAGTCAAAAACATACTACTAGCCCCAAATAGGTAACTATGATATATATAGGTGATGTGAGTTGGTGTGTCCGAAGTTCTGAGGTCCGAGGAGCCCGAGATCGCTGGCACGCTGCAGAAGCCCTTACTAAGTTATAAAATATTAGGTCTTTAAGGATTTTACAGGTATTAATGTATTAATGGAAGAGTACCAATTTACAATTATTTTTTTGCATTTAAATAACATTTTATTATACTTTGAGAATGTTTTTGAAATATTATGTTATAAATTTAATGATAAAAGTTTTACCTCTTTCCACATTTCAAAAAAGATGACGGCACATATCAGAGAGTATTCTATCGTACACGGAAACAGGAAAGGAGCAGCATTTTGTAGTAATGCACCCATAATATTGGCTCGTCTGCATGGAATGCCCTCAGCCTCGTGCAGAGTACTGTTTCCTGTCCCCAATATATTATGTTCGAGATGATGTATCTCGTGTTTCGTCTCCTCTACTAACACATACAGCCATTCGCACAAATTAGTAGCTACCATGTGCATAAAACCAAAACGTTGTAACAGTTTAAAACTGCCAGATTCTATGTCTTTGTTAGTGAGGAACATGAACTGCATTTGTACTAATGTGAGGGACATTCTTAAAGCAGGTGTTATTACAGATACAACGTTGCGACATTTGTTTGTCATTTCGAAGTATTCGCCTAGTTCTAAACCACTATACACCATTGAACCGATACCAAATGCTGTAAAAGAAGAATAATTTAGGAGGAGAAAAAATATAATATCACCATAATAATACTATTACAACTTTTTAGCCTGGCTAAATATCACACCTTAAAATGTATATTATAACAGAAAATAGCTGAAAAGACTAGCAACCATATATACTAATTGTAATTGTAAGTGCTAAGATAAAAACAAATATAATAATAATTTAAATCAAATAATAAGCGAATTACAACATGTTGGAATGTGTAAAACAATTGACGTACGTGTGCAAGGTGCATATTAATTTAATTTTTTTTCAGCCATACATTTTTATTACAAAAGTATCCTTCAAAAATATGGATACCTGACTACATATAAAAAAAACATTCATTGGTAATAACGGTAAAGAGCATAGAAAATAAATGAACAATATTTACCGATTCCACCCAATCTTAAGTAAAAACTTCCGTAGCGCGAAACACTTTGTTCCATCTTTTGTTTGTTATTTGGTGTACTTTTGCCATTCTTATCAACTTTAAGTGTGCCCTCTGTAAAATAAATAGTAAACATAAAAACACATGTGGACCGAATAGAATAGGTATATATAAACGAATGTCTGAAAACGTTTCAAGAATGCAAATGAAAGGAGTTAGTTCTTTTCTGCAGTAATTATGCAAACAAATGTGATTTTAATGTCTCATTTTGTTAAGCAAATGCGGTTAATTACCTAAGTATACATTGAACTTATTGTATAGAGAAATAGTGTGTGGTTTCAAAGAAATTAAGGCTTACCATAGTCTTGAATGATTACGTTCACGGCCTTTTGACGCATTATATTTACATATTGAAAGACCACGAAGATAAGTGACACTAAATATAGGTACAAATAGAATCCCTGAAACGAATTAGGTTGACGTAAGAATACAATAACTTATCATTGACTTACACATATTCATGGATGAATGATAAGAAAGGAAATATCCTACTTATAATGATTTTTGTTTATACAAGAAACTAGATTCCAGGACGTGTAGTATTTTTAGCTGTCAAATGAATTAAAACGGCCGAATTAATATGACAAGTGACAAAGTGAGTTTATTTATTTGTGCCACCTTCACGGATTGATCACTCAACTGATCATAGTAAAATTTCATACAAGGCATATTTAGGAAAGTTACCGAATACTGTTTTAACCATGGTAGTAGACATTGTCATTTTAATAGCACCTTAACTTGGGTATAGAGATTCAATAATTTTACAGAAATTATTTTAAGATTATAATGCACCTAATATGACTAAATATAAGTTACTTTATACCTGGTAATAACCGTCGGGTACACCACCAGCAATAACTTCAGTGATAGGAAATGCCAGCCCCAACACAACCAGTAACTTGCAGTAAAGAGCAGATAGCGCCTTACTTAAGGCTTCACTGTGGTTATAAAAGGAAAGTTTGTTAGTATCCTATCTTAATTATCCTAACTATCTTATATGTCCTATCTCAGCTATCCCAACTATCCTAACCATCTCAACTAATCTGACTATGAGATTAGTTTGTTTGCTTATTTATTTGTTACTCTTTCACAATTCTCTTCTTCTTTCTCTTTCAAAATATCTCAATAAATAATCCCGAAATACAAATATGTAGTCAGGTACACGGAAAAGGATCTTTTGATCTAGAAAATACTGTTCCCGAGTAATAGTCGAATTGACCGATGGGCTAATGCCATTTAATTCTTGAAAGCATCCAGAATTAAATAGCATTAGCCCGTCAGTTGGTTAACTCTCCAACATCAACATCATCTGACATGACAGTCAGTGGGTAAATAATCACCTAGTTTCTTAAAAAATAAATAAGGTAAGTTATTTTGATGAGTTTTTATTTAAGAATGTAAACATATCTACTTTCTGAGATTGAGACATGGCTTTTTTGGTGAATGTGAAGTCGATGACTTACAAAAAATTACGCGTCTTCATAATGTTTTTTGTAAAAATGTCTTCGACGTATTAAACAAGAAACCTCATATTACGTTTTTGGAGGACTAATAGACATTTTTTGTCATCAGTAAAATCCGTTCAGAAGAGAAAAGTCAGAGGTAGGTGACAAATAATTTCTAGAAATACAAAATTACAATTTTTGCACTGGTGGAAATTTCTAAGGGTATTTAAGATTTGGGCCGTTAGTCAATGTAAAATTTGAACTCGTTAAACTGTTACGCACGAGGTGTCTAGAGGGAGACTGTTCATGTCTAGATTATGTTATCTGGCCTGAGGTTGAGTAAATATTGTATCAATGATATGTTAAATATCGGGTTGAAATTTTGCTATTATATTATCTTAAGACTATGGTAGAATTGTACTGTCCATTAAGAGATAATGTGCACGTATCTTTCTTTGTCTTATTACAATAATGGAAACTATAATCATATATATTGTTATACACAACAGAGCTGCTACAAATTAACGGTATGTGAAGAAAAACTTTTCTGTATGGTTTAAATATTTATAAAGTATAATGGGGGACCTTTATCCCGGGGTGTAACAACCTGTCGCCTTGGTGTAGTGCGTCGCCTAACACTGACGCTGATGGTCCTTCGTTAGGTTATAAACTAGTCGCATAAGGCATCTCCTAAATACGCATGTGAGTATAACTGTTCCTTTAAGAACATAGAAATCTAGCGTGCTATAACAATGTCAATTTTTTAATAGTTGAAATAGCTAAGCATACCAAGTATGTATTCAAAAGTTAAAGTTTATTTAATTAAGGACCCCTCGTTGGGAAAAGGCCTCTTCTATTTATTGGTAATTTTCTTCTATCTTATGCTTTGGTAAGCTAAATATGTTACTATATAAAGTTGCCCAATAATATTTGGTAAATACGTATTGGAGACATAAATCAAAATACCGGTAATCCTTGAACAAACATTTGTAGAGGGTGATTCAGGTAGAAAGTGTTTGGTTTATAGATTAAGTTTGTAATACGAGTACACTATAAGATTATAAAAAAAAGAATTGTTCATGATAGTGATTTAAAAAATGTACTTTTAATATATTTTTAAATCAAGAAGGCTATTGATTAAATATTTTTTATTGTTTCATGGTTAATAACTTTCGAACATTAATTACTTTGCCACGGACAACTGTTTATGATAGCCTGGTTGGAATTTTCTTTCTTTTTGTGTTAAAGCTAACATAGTTTCTCTAATAATTATTAAAGGATCTAGATGAGCTGTTTTGGTGTGATTAATGTTTAGTGGCAGTAGTAGTAGAGATTGATATTTTGTTCTCTTGTAATCAGGACTATATGTTTCTCCGTTCATATATTGGTGTTATAAAATTGTACTGTCCCTGGTATTGTATTGTCATATATTTATTCTTCAATATAAGTTATGAAATAGCATAATACGAGTTTAGAAAATGCATAAATATTCGTATTTTACGCCTGAATTACGTATTTGTGTAAGGTGCGATAAATCACTATTCTCATGTCAGAGTAGGCATGTGTTCTCTACACGCCTTACCGCAACATCTACGATAGTTGACGGCGACCAAAACTTATAGTGTTAAAATACTTTCAGTCATTTCCTCTTCATTTAAATTGAGATTCTAATTAAATGAATATTATTTTATAAGTGTAAGTTGAAAGTTAATTTTGAGGTCTAATATGTTCATGAAACTGAGGTAGAAATTGCTTGATTTCTTTATTACTATATTCTTTCATGTTAAGTTTATTAAATACATATTCAAAAGGCATTTTTTTTAAAAGGGTGCTAAGGTATTTAGGTGTGTACATAAATTGTGTAGAAATGCACATAAAATCAAAATCAATTTGATGTGGTTTATGAAATATGTAGGTAAAAATATTAAAAACAGATTTAACAGATCTATACGACAATATAATCCTCATGTTTAATCTGCAATTAAGTTAAAATTTGTTATACGTCAACAGGCTTCATTGCTAGTTGGCATAAGTCACCAAAATATGATGACTCAACAATTATCTAGTTTTTATCTTAAATACAACAACTTGATAAACCCTTTCATATGTGTACATGTCAGCGCGAAGCTCGTGTCATAAAACATGAGTTAATATAAGCAGCAGCCTCTTAACTATGAACAAGCACATTTATTTAGAGTTGAATATCAGGGAAGAATAGTGTTCAAAGGTGAATAGCAGTCAGTTGGATAACGTCATGTAGTGAACAGACAATGCACAGTCTACGTCGCGTCAACACAATTCAAAGCACCACCCTTCATTTGTTAATAAATAGACAGGCCGACAATAGCGCTGGGAACATTCAACGCTCAATGAATCTAATGAGGTTGTGGACACTGTTTCACATAAAATCTGTGTCACAACTGTTTTTAATATGCCGCTGTTAAGGCTATTAATCAAAACGATTTTTCTCACGAGAAAGGTTGCCTCTGAGCCCAGGCCTGCTCCCCATGACATTATGACAGGCTTCCTAAATTTTAACATCAGCAGGCCGATGAACATTCATCGGAGAAATGAATGTTTGACACGGGTAGGGGGACGGTGAGGGCCTCGTTGAAACAATCCGTAATGATTACGATACTGTCGCTAAGACGGGGCGTCATCAAACATGTGCTAAAATACAGTTGTACCCCAGGTATCTGTACACAACGAATTGGCTAGAACTGTAATATCTCTCATACATTGAATACCTTAAATTAATTATTGCGTGGTAGGAAGATAAGCAATCCTACTTACTAGTAAAATCACAATTTAGTACTAGACTTTTTTACAGCGGAGTTTAAAGATTCTAAAGGTTGACATTTATTTACCTATACTTTTATGAAAAGATGAGTTAGTTTGTTTGTGTCGCTTTCACGCCTAAACCACTAAACCGATTTTAAAAATTCTTTCATCAATGGAAAGCTTCATTATCAGCGAGTAATATAGGCTACTTTTTATCGCGATTATAAAAAGCTAGTATGTTTATATGTATGCGTATACATTGCACTAGGTGTGGGAGGTTTTAGGTGTGAAAGATAACTCTAGACAAGATTTTCTTCATTGCAATGGGGGTCGAGCGTAAAGGTCGAGGGTTACCTGATGGTAGTGACTAATGCTGCTCATGGATTTCTACAACTCAAGAGACACAACTGGTTTATCGTCCTTTGTGTGCCCCTAGAGTTTGGGACTTAGGGAGTTGGGCTTTCGGTACACAAAGCCCCCTTACACAAGTACTGGGATTAAAGAATAACCAAATGAAGCTCAATCTCCTTCTCAAAATTAAAATCGATGCAATAGCAACTGCAGAAGTAATGAAGAAGGTGTATCTAGTGTGTGAGCCCTGCGTCTTATGTATATACAAGATCACCAAGAATGTCAATCTTTCTAGTCGGTCTTATGTTTTAAATCCTTAAACCCTTTCGTCATCCTTTTTGTCCTAGCGACACTAGACAATTCTTTTTTTTGATTTAATTACTTTCGACAGTTTTATGACTGTAATATTATGTTTTGTAATTATGTATAAATCGAAAACGACTGACATCATTGAACAAAATTTAAAGTGAGGCAACATTTCTGGGGATCTTTGTCCTATTGGCAAAGTTAAATCGATGTAAGCATTAATTAATTTAATATGTTCGACTCGGGGTTTTAAGCTAAATCGCTTATAACTTACTAAAAATATTTTGTTATCTTCATACCCAATTACATCTAAATCCGTTGTTATGGTTCTAATGACAGACACGCAGATAACAGATAGACAGACATACACACTTAGATTATATTATAGATAGATAGATATTTCACTCAGTGAAATAAAAATAATTATTATATCTTGAGACGTATCTCAATGAAGTGTGAAACTGACCTAAAACTAGACAGAGCTTGTAGGTACTATTTTTTACATCTACGCAAATTTTTGCAGATAATGCATATAGAATAATATACTTACTGTCCTAATATTTCTGCGGTTGAGGGTGGAGTATCGTGGGATGTGGATGCAACTGAGGTCCGTGAGTGATGGACCAACTCTGAGAGGAACCTTCGCTGCGTGGCTGCGCACAGCGCCAACGCTTGCGATGGTCGACGAAATGCTGCAATTATTGCTGATGGTCGTCTGCAATTAGATATTATATTAGAAATATGTTACAAGGCACGTGCTTTAAATCTGCTACCATGTTTAGAGCTTCTGCGTTTTAAAGTCGGTAGTTAAGTATTGAAAACTGAATTATGCAGACCAACCCTTAGGAGTACCAATGGCAGACGATTGTATTGGAGATACGAGATACTTTTTCTTCCCTTCGCTTCCTTAACAGTTTAGTATCGTGTTTGAATTGAGGTAGAACATTGTTTTTTATGGATGCCATGATACTTTAGTAACATAATAATCTATAAGTATAAAGCATTCTACCTTTAAAATTATAAATTAGAGTACAAATTAACACATTTCTTATTGTTATTTTATCAAAACAATTGTTTTTACTGATTGTGTTATGGTTATATAGTATAACTTTTTAGAGCATTTTACAAACTTGCATATAATTCCTTGTTTTTAACATACCTTGTATTCAAATTTGCAGCGAGTTTAGCTTCGGTATCGGAGGACATTCTTCGGCTGTTCGGCTGAGAGTGCGATTGCTGTAAGAGCGGATCTGCTGGGGTTCCCAGCATGGCTCTCGTCCTCTCCCGGAGTTGACCCAAATCCGAGTAAGAGTCATCACTGTTACACAAGTATTTTAGATTTTAATACATTTAAAAATTATAATAAAAATAACTGGATACACTTTACATACGGTCGTTTGATCACAAACTATGCTGTGCCTGTACTATGGTAAACAGACTGCTGATAAATATACTTATCACATCACATCATCACATCATCAGCCTTTAATAGTCCACTGCTGGACATAGGCCTCTCCTTAGAAAGGAGGTTTTGGCCTACTACTCCACGCTGGCCAGACGGGTTGGTATAGGGTTTGTGTCAAGTTTTCCTTCTTTTTGCAGTGCTGGTGACCTGCGTTGTTTTGCGCCCTCATTCGCCTCTTACGACACCCACGGGATGAATTGGGGTAGTGACATTCCGTATTCTTAATCCGTCACTACACGGACAATATACTTATACATTACTAAATACATACATATTATTATAGATAAATTACAGCCAGACACAGAATAATCGTGCTCATCACACAACTGTTGGTGCTGGTTAGGAATCGAGCCCATGGCGTTATGGTTAGCAGTCAGTATCATTAACAACTACCTAATAACAGAATAGTCCAAAAAACAATAAATGGTATTTTAGATTTCATACGTTTTCGCGAAGACATACGAGTAGCAACAACAAAATAGGCACACACTAGTATTTTCTTATTAAGATTAAACTACGTAAGTTCTCCTAAATTCAGATACAGCAGATGTTTTGATATAACTAGAAGAATAGAACTGCTGCATTAAACACGTAACAATATCAAAAAAATGACGTCTACACAATTTTTAATATTCTACTTCTCTTTTATTACATTTTTTTAAAGATGATATACAAATAAGAAGTCGTGGTAGGCTTTGAATCAAAATTCTTCATCTACTTTTTACCTTTGAGTTTGATTGATAATAATAGCTTTATTAGCTTCGAAAATAATATGCGGTTTCTATAAAAAGCTCACTGAAGCTTATTAAACACGCGCAATGAAGCAGAGGTATACAGTCCACCCACACGTCTATCGTTATTTTTAGTCAATGTATTTGTAAGTACCGAAAGGTCACTAAGAAAAGTTCACATTTCCTACAACCAAAATTAAAAAATGCGTCATCAATTTTGAGGACATTCTATAATTTAGGAATATCTACTAGTTAGAAGGAACCTAACCATTGGCCTTTTTGGTAAGGGTGATAAAACTATACCACTGTGCTTGATGCTGCTGAATTTCTTAGTATATAACTGAACACCATTCCACGGTGTATTAAAAAGCTTTTATTTAACTTGCAAAGGGTGTGAGTTTGTTAATTTAGGCCAAACAATAATAATAACTTTACACATCTCACACGACCATCTGTCTGATCCCAAACTAGGTAACCAGACTGCAGATAAACATACTTATATATTTCTAAATACATACAATATACATATGATTTGTCATGGATTGAAATCGAACCCACGACCTCTGGCTTAGCAGTCAGGGTCATAAACTATTAGACCAACAGAAAAATTATAATTCGTAGCCAACAGACCAGTGAAATCCTAAGTAGTTTTTTTTTTAATTGTCCAATAAAATTTATACATGCACAAGGTTATCTATTATATACCACACAAACCATGAAGAGTTTATCCGTGGTAGTTGAAATTTTACCTAAATAATGATTTAGTTCTGATACATTATTATAAACGATGAACTCCAGACGAGGAAACTCCTCATCACTCAATCTTACAGTGGCTAAAGTCGCGTCAGCTATGCTGCGGTAAGTATTTAGGGGTTAAATTCCCGCATGATACTAATATTTGTCAACGTGCTCTAGTTTGAATGATTAGTCACCGAATTCATTCCCAAAAAAATTATTCGCAATCAGAAATTGGTCTTCATGTCATTAGCATTGGTTTGTACCCAGTCAATAAAACAAATGTGGAACTGTGGTTTATTAGGCACTAGTAAACTTTAATTTAATAAACGTTTCGCATAGTCCCCAATACCCTAGTCAAGGTTAAATCGAAGCGTGATCGAAATGGCAGCCTGATATGCTAAACATGATGTCACGAACCTAACATCTCAGTAAAAACGTTTCCATAGAAAACTGAAAGAGGCATCCACATATCAACAAATACATATTTTTAACATTAGTTTTTTTTTTTAAATGACAATTAGGTAAGTCGTTTTTAAAAAAACGTGGCAACGGCATTAGATATTACTTTATTTGTTAAGTTGACTGCATATCCCAAGAGTTTGTCAAAGGAAGGTATGAGCATATTTGTAAAATAGCTTTATAAAAACCCTTCAGACTGGATAGCCTGTGTTTTACAGAAGGCTAGCTTGTTCCGAATGTCTTAATAACAGCAGTTCCCGGATCCCTCCTATTACAGGCGCAGAGTGGCACATCGTGGGGTTTTAGTCGGCCCGATTCCGACACACCACCACGCCGCAAACCTCGGTGGGTTGACGGCCCGAGGGGGTTTCCACGCGGGAAGAAATAAAAATAAATAAATTAAATGAATGGCCGATATTTATTCATGTAACAATATGTTCAGTGTTAAAGCGAAAACAATTTCTTGGGCTTCTAATATGATTTTTGGACATGGTTAATTAAATTAAATTATTTATTTTAAAGCACTAATTAATAAGTGTTTGTTGGTAACACTATCACTATCTTCTTTGCTAACTTAAAGGACCTGTAATGCTTCTGATCTATCGAAGAATTATACGCTGAGGGTCTGAGTTTGTTTGATAGTATAAAAATAAATATTAGCCATTTTGATCCTTCACTCTCCCAAAATATGATAGCAATAAGTTTAATCACACACACTTTAACATTAGCATTTTTAAACAAGATGATAATAAAGTTGCTTATTATTGTGACTTCGAGAAAAACAGTAATTTTTTAGGAATCCTTTGTGATACTATGGAGCACACGGCAGGTGTATCGGCGACACAAAGCGGTCTATCAAACGTCATAAATATTTTCGAAGCCGTTCACGACTGCACTAAAATCCCTCTTTGTGTATACGTTTCATACTTTCCAAGATCTACAGTATGTTTAGAATCTTGAGTTATGATTTGATAGCGATTAAAAATTCAATAGCAGATGGTAAAGAAAGATATACCTATTTAATGGGTAGGGAAGTATGTATGTGTAATATAATTAAAAATGTTTCGGGATGATCACATCGATATCATATGGCATATTTTCGATATGTTTTTTATTTTTTATGTTTTTCTATGGCAGACAAGCAGACGGGTCACCTGATGGAAAGTGACTATCGCCGCCCATGAACGTCTGCAACTCAGGAGTCACGAACGGTATTAAGAAATTAGCCTCATAAGCGGTTGTTTTAGAGTTGAATCATCATCATCATCTCACTGCTAGAAATAGACTACCCCTAAGGTCTCCACAGCAACCGGTCCTGTGCTGCCCGCGTTGGATGTTGGATACCAAAAACTTATTTGTGTAAGAAATGCGAAAATTGTATTTAATTGTGTACAAAGTTCAAAGACTCTTTACTTCCCATATTCTTCAACACGAGGGTATTTCTACATCCTCGTGTTAAACTGATAGTCAAAGAAATATATTGAGTTTAATCACATAGAAATTTGCATACTACACAGTTTGGATTATTTATAAAAATTCAGTACATACACTTAAACTCTTCGTAAATAACTTAAGATGTTTGGTTAAAATATTCTTGTTCCTATTTTAACGGTTACCATTTTAAATTGAACACCCCTTTAGACGAATATTTAAAGAACTGTCTGAAGTTGTATTGAACTATTTCGACTGAGAGCTGCTGAGCGCAAAATCTCCAAAATGTGCATCCGTTCGCCGGAAATGTCTTCGTAAGCTTCGTTGTATCCTCACTGAACCTATTTTGAATATAGTCCTCACTCTCAATATATTGATATATGAAAATAATTTATTGTTCACACCATCAACGTGCAACGTTGTTGTACAACACGCTGAATTGAACTCTAGGAACTTATTGCAAAACACATACTCTGATAATTAATGTAATTCAGGCACAACGATCTCAGAACACATTACTCTATCAGATTTTATTTACATAACTGATTACTATAAATATTTATGAAACTGTCCCTGATGCACCGAACGATTCGGGTAAGTTAGCACAAGCGTTAGCTACAATTAAATCACTAGCTGTGTATAAATCTAACACAATAATCTTGTTTGTCTAAAGTGCTTAGAGTAGCTTTGTTACTTAACTATGTCGCAATGTGCATTTGTGTATTATTTGTACATACAGTAAACTATTACTCGTAGACTATTTCCATCATTGTTGCATTTCTAATCCGAAACTTACATATTTGAAAATAGAAATTTATATATAGATTAAAAATAAAAATACACAAAATTGGCATTTACCTTCAAAAATTTTAATATAGGTAAGCATGTATGTATTAAATGCTGAAAGCCGTTAAATAGATATTAATTAATAATTACAAGTTCTTAAAATATTGTTGAGTTTGAAAACTGCAAAATTAGAGGTAAATTTCTCAATTATTCCAGTTGCTTTATTGATTTAGTATTCAAAATCAAATTCATAGTTCATTCACATCACATTGATCATACTTCAGATATTATGTTTGTACATATTATATTTTTAAAAAATGTTTTTTTTTGCGTGAGTTCGTTCCAGTATAGTGTATATATCCAAGTTCAATTCACTTGGTTGGTTGGTTTTAACTATAATAGGTAATAGTGGTCTGTGTTCAGTTTTTTTTTCGGTTAAGGAATAAATATTTTACAATTAATGTAAGAACCAGCAGATATAAAAAAATTAATACTTAAAGCCATTTTGTTTTTACATGTCAAAAAAAGGCGGTGATGTTAGAAAATATGATAAAACACGATAACAGCTTATCAAAATATGCTAGATTTAGCTACATTATCTCATGAATTGGCGTAAGGCCAAGTAGGATTAACTGTAAAGATATGAATAATGGTGTGAAAAAGAAAATTGCGACGATTAACTAAAATAGTGAAAGACATTAATTTTTGATTGATTAGTGGGCTCGGGCTTTCCGGTATTAGCTAAATCGAATTACAGGTATGCTGTCCTTCTGATGATGGCCTCTTTAAGCGATATCACAGTACCTGATCCATCCGTTTAAACAATATCCCTATCTCACACTATCCTCCTCCGAGCCTTTTCCTCAAACAAGGTTGGGTCGGCTTTAAGTCTACTAGCCGTAGCCGTATTAGGCTGAACTTCGATTTTTACGAGGAAAGACTGTCATCAGACCTCCACAATCTAAGTACTAGGCGGTATCGATGTTCTGTAGACAGACTGTTTTTGTTTTTGCGCGAACTACCCGTAACGATTGCTCCAAAATTTCGTACGGCAACCGGGACCGAACGGCTTAACGTGCTCTCCGAGGCACGGAGGAGTCTCAATGTGGTGCTAACCTACTCGGTTAGCATTTAGCCAAGAGCCCCTCCCTTTTCCTCACTGTCTTTCCTTCTTATCCTTACATATATTTACTTTTCCTTAAAATTCACTTACCTACATTTTTTCCATCTAATCTCTAAAATGGGTTGACGGCTATATGCTTGCCCCTATTATGTAATCGGGACTAAACTTATACTTAGCAAAATATGGGTGTTCAATCCATTTCAGCCTACCCCTCAGCGAATAGAGGCATGGGTTATCTAAATTTTTGACACATACACATGTGTCAAAAATGTAGATAACACATTATTTATATGCATTGACGGCTGTCTATAAAATACCATCATCATCATCATCAGCCTATCGCAGTCCACTGTTGGACATAGGCCTCTCCCATTGCACGCCAATAAAAATAAAATACCATATAATGCTTATATAAAAAAATAATTTAATAAACATTGTACTTTAGTTTAAATTCAAAAATATTTAATTTCTTCTCTTAGACATACTTCAACGGCAACTTCTAACTAAGTGTACGGCATAAAGCGTTAAGATAACAGATAAAACTGAATCATTAGACAAAGAAAAATTCTGTAAAAGAAACTTTAATTAAATGCTTAGTATCTCTTTGTTTATGATGAGCTTGCAGTATCCGACAGGCCGTCGACGCATCCGTTTCCCTAGCGGCTTCAAAAAGGAATGGCTTTTCACGTTCAATTCTCCACAATAGAAGACTGGTTATGGAAGCGTTGCTTTCAATAGAATGGAATACACTTTTTAAATCTCAAATTCAAATAGGTGTCAATAATATGGATGAAAAAAAATCGCTTCTTTTAACACTAGTTAATTAGACTAATAAATGCCGTGTGCTTATTTGAAACACTTCTGTACAATTCACTAAAATAGTGAATTGTACAGAAGTGTTTTTCTTAAATGGTATATTAAAATTTTTCATGCACTTAGATTTCGATACTTATTTTTTTATGATGACGTTTAAATTGTATTCTTAGTTACAAATAGACGAGTTAAAGGCGGCATTGGTTATCTACTCTCATATTAAGATAATCGTAAGTCAGTGTTATCTTAAAAGTATATTCAAATAGCATATTTCACGGACAACACAATAGGGAAACGTAATCAATAAGAAATGTATCATACCTGTCGTCATTTTCTTCATGCACAGTGTCCATATCAGTGATGGTGACGCCTGGATGTAAGTCCGTTGCTTCGCATACCGGGCCTCTGTTTACTGGACTCATCTACAACACATCACGGTAAACTTAAGATAGGCTATTGCGTACAATCTATCTCATGGCCATTTTTGTTATTTACACCGGTATACTCGTATATACGGCTAAATGTAACAATTGTGAAACGTACGGCAGATATTATCTAAATTGTATTTTTTTGTTATCTACTTTTTTACTGTAGCACTTCTGGTTTCTATTACATTTATGAATACTGATTGATACATTGATACAATTATGAATTGAGTTCTAAATAATTACAAACAAATACGCACCTATATATTTTGTATTTATTATTATGTTTACTGATTTTGTTTCTTCTATATTTTCTCATTTCCTTTACCATGAACGCGCCACTAAATCCGACGTTAGAATTTCGGAAAACAATAAATGCAAACTTCTTTTAGTGAATATATTTTTCATTAATAATTTTTCTTTGCATTCAAACTGTATAATTTTGTAGAGGACGTTCAGTCCTCTGTCGATGTGAGTTCATACTGAGCTCTAATAAGCAGGCTTTGTTTACAGTTTCTACATGAGTCTTCAGTAATCCTAGGTAAAATGTCTGTTTGCTTATGATTAGGGTTGTCGAAAGGGCTGATTTTATGTTAAAACAATTTTTTGCGGAAGAACAAACTCCGATTAATTGAATACCTATAATGAGCATAATTAACTTTCGAAAGGTGTCATGGTCTTCATCAAGAATGAATTGTAATAAGCTTTATTTTAAAACTACATTGTCATGAGTACCAAACGGAGACTATAACCTTTCAAATAAGTCAATAATTTTAAAAATTATGGAGTTCTGTGAAAACGAACATAAAAACATGCAACAGATTTAGGGAACTTCCGTCTTTTGAAGTCTATACCAAGAGTTCTGAGCGCTTTGGTTGCTCATGAAACTAATCTAATAGTTATGAACTAATCGCGCCCAAAATGATGATATAAAATAAAATATATCATCATTTAACCATCCTATGCTAAATTTAAAAACGTGTTTTATTATATATCTATATATTTGTTCTGCTATATTTTACTTTCACTTTAATTTAAACTATAGCAAGTCCTATTATCAATGGTGATTATTTAACTTATACAAATATTTGTGGCCCGCATATGTACACACCCGCACATGTACTGTGGTCGCTTTGATTTCCTTTTGTCATTGCTGGATTACAGCGTGGGTTTGGGAAATGTATGGAGATTTCCCTTTCTGTGTTACAATAACGGAATGGCGGTAAGAAACTAACTGTCCGTGTGGTGATGGATTAAGAATACGGAGTGTCACCACCCCTATTCATTCCGTGGCCGATTAAGAGAGCAAACTCTCAAGGATAACAGCACTGCAAAGAGAAAGTAAACTTGAAACAAACCCTCTACAACCTAGACAGGTTGGTAGAGGGTTTGTTTTGGTTTGTCGAGGGTCTATTCCCGCAGCGGGCGGAGCACACACCCCCGTCGATGGCTGCATCAGCCGGAGACGACGGGGGCAGCGAGGTTGATGTTCCGCCCGTCAGGGAATCGGAGTTGGGGGCGGCTGTTCTACGGATTCGATCCAAGAACACCGCCCCCGGGCCGGACGGGGTTCCAGCCCGAGTGATGGCCCGAGCCCTCGACTACATGTCGGACCACCTCAGGGGGGTGTTGGACGCTAGCCTGGCGTCCGGACGCTTCCCTGAGCGCTGGAAGTGCGGGAAGCTGGTCCTGCTGAGGAAGCCGGGACGGCCTACCGATTCGGTCGCGGCCTATAGGCCTATCGTGTTGCTGGACGAGGCGGGTAAACTTTTTGAGAGGGTACTCTCTGCCCGCATCGTCCGGCACCTTTGCGAGGTTGGCCCCGATCTGTCGGACGCCCAATTCGGTTTCCGAGAAGGGCGTTCGACGATCGATGCCGTAATGCACCTTAGGGCCGTGACCGAGGAGGCTGTGAGCTGCGGCGGAGTGGTGTTGGCGGTGTCCTTGGACATCGCCAATGCCTTCAATAGTCTGCCATTCAGCTGCATCAGGGAAGCGCTCCGCTACCACGGAGTGCCGGAGTACCTGAGGCGGCTGGTGGCAGACAATCTTGACGAGCGAACCGTCATGTACGAGGACCGAGATGGCGTCTTGAGACGCAGGGCCATGTCGTGCGGTGTTCCTAGGACCTCTCCTGTGGAACATCGGGTACGACTGGGCCCTACGAGGGCGTCTCCCCCCCGGGCTGGGTGTCATCTGCTACGCGGATGACACTTTAGTCACGGCCCGGGGGGCTAACTTCGAGGAGGCGGCGCGCCTTTCCGCCACGGGAGTTGCCCTAGTGGTCGGGCGCATTGAGGCGTTGGGTTTGCGGGTGGCCCTGGATAAGACGGAGGCCCTATTATTTCATGGGCCCCGTCGTGGTCCACCCGCCGGCGCCTCAATCGAGGTCGGCTCGGTCCTCGTACCGGTCCGGGCCCAGATGAGGTATCTGGGTCTGGTCCTAGACGGTAGGTGGCTCTTCGACGAGTACTTCCGACAGCTTGGTCCGAAGCTGGTGGACACTGCCTCCGCCCTAGGGCGACTTTTGCCCAATTTGGGCGGGGCCAGTGTTCCCAGGAGGCGGCTGTATGCGGGGGTTGTCCGGTCCATGGCGCTGTATGGTGCACCGGTGTGGGTGGCGGCTCTGACCGCCCCGAATAGGGCGCGCCTCTGGCGCCCCCAGAGGATATTGGCGGTCAGAGCCATACGCGGATACCGCACGGTGTCCACGGATTTGGAGGCGGAAGTGCTCGCCGAAGTTTATCGGCGAGTGGCTGACTTCCGGGCGGAGAGCGGATTTCGCCCTCCGCCCGAAGACGTGCGCGAGTGGCGCGAAGCCGCTCGCCGAGCCACCATGGTCAGATGGTCGCTCCGGCTGGAGACTCCACGCGCTGGCTTCGCCGCCGTGGAGGCTCTCCAGCCGGTCATCGCTGAGTGGGCAGGGCGGCAGCACGGGACCCTTTCCTTCCGGCTGACGCAGGTGCTTTCCGGGCACGGTTGCTTCGGAAGGTACCTGTACTCGGTCGCTCGGAGGGAATCGAGTCCCGCCTGCCACCACTGCGACTGCAGTGAGGATTCGGCCCAGCACACGCTGGCGGTTTGCCCCGCATGGGCGACGCAGCGCCTGGCCAATGTGGAAGCGCAAAGAGGGCACACCGTGTGGTTTTAGTCGGTTCGAGTCCGACGCACCGCCCCGCCGAACGAGAGCCCCGGCGGGGTGACGGTCCGAGGGGATTTCCACACGTAAAAAAAAAAAAAAAAATTGTTTTGGTTTGTGGCCCGACGGCCAGCGTATAGTAGGCCAAAACCTTCTTCCTAACAAGAGGCCTATGTCCAGCAGTGGACAAGTAAAGTCTGTTAATGATGATATGTACATACTCGTACATATTTTTGACAACCTTCCTTTCGTTTGATACAATTTGTTCTTAGTAAAAAAAAATATACATTGCAATATCAGTTAGCTGATTACGAGTATATTGACATGATATGTGATATCAGAGTGATCAGACGTCTCTACAAAATCTCCACAAGCTTATTATCTACAGATATTCAGTATTATTACTCTTTTATCAAGTATTGTATGATACAGACGATGGCCTAATCAGCCATCGGAAGCGGCACTACTTCTATCATTATACTTTCATCATCATTAAATAATTTATTGTTTACATTATTCATCGGTTTTTATATTTTTATCGACCATTGTATGACGATATCATTGTGACACGTGTTATATCAAATCTTACGGTTTTGTGTAAAAGAGGTGGCATGGCGGTCAAACGCTGACCGTGGCCAGCGATTTTTGAAAGCAAAACAAAACGCAACAGGCGAAGGTGTATTTTCAAATAGGCATGAGAAGTTACACAAAGTTTTTAGGTGTATTAAATTTAAATAATTCTTTTTTTTGTTGTATTGCTTCGTTTTTTTGCAATGATTTTAACTGGTATAAAGACTGCATAAATTAACAAACTACATTTTAAACATTTCGTTACACAATTTTGTCTTTTTGATCTCATTATTATTTTTATTTCTGTATTGCCAAGTAAAAAAAAACACATTCAGCTATCCATGTTGATAAGGAGATAACTTTTTATTAGTATGAAGTAATTATTTTTAGTTGAAATAATATACAAAATTTACTCCACTTTTTATTGTATAATATAACAGAGGATTGAAGAGACACCTTTGTATTAGATTTAAGTATATGCTAAACAGATCTATAACAAGAAGAAAAAGATTGTTCATAATAGAGAAACAAAGAAAACGTGTCCTTTATTTTGCTTTACGGTACCTTCATTTGGTCTATTACTCCAACAAATTACGTTACAATAACCTCACATAACTCTTTTCCAAGTCCACGTTTGTAGAGGTTTTGTTTATATTTGATATAAGAATAAATGAAGAATGGAAGAACGGAAGTGAGTTGTGGAACTTATATGTGACTATTTAAATAGATAAGTGAAGTGCAATGGCTAACTATGAGTTGTCGATATATATATGTATGTGTGTACATATTTATAAAAAAGCAGTCCTTCACCTCCAGGAAGTGTCGTGAAGCTGTGACATTATAGTAGCTTGAAAAATTTATCAGAAGCCACCCTTGTATTTAAGGCGAAGTTAAAGCAAGTACCTAACAAGATGGCAGGGGGGTTTAGACCAGACTAGACTGGACCACCCTTGTAAATAATGTCCTATCCGCGGAGTTACCGCAGGTAGTTTTATTTTTATATACCTAAATATTATATAGTAACTATCCCATAGCATGAATCGTTTCTCATTACTAAATGAGTTAGACCTTAGTTCATAATATCCCTAATAATAGAGTGAAACACCTATTATTAAAAAGTGATTTAGTATGATTTTTTAGATAGCAACAAAGGACAAGGCAATTTAGTGAAATTCTATTAATGTTGAAATGTACTGTATCATAGCTCTATTTTTAAGTAATGATTTAATAAAATATGCTAAAATTATATACATACTACCACTAGACGACTACTAATTAACATTTGATAAGTGTGCAAATGTTTTGCTATCAATTTCATCATGACAGTAGCATACACTTGGTGTAACTATGCATATTGTTTATATATATATATATATATATATATAATGTACTCACATTTTTTAGTTAATTGAAGGTATGAAGCCGATTTTTATTTTAATGTACTACAAAGTGTAAGATTAAATGGTGAGTTTGTTTGTCTTGCGTCCGCCGGGCGGTCCGCTCTAAGGTTGTTAGGTTGTTGAATAAGTTTCTGAATTAAGAGAACTGAAAGTTTTCTCATCTCGAGATTACAGCAAAGTGTTTACCGTTTGGCTATAGGACGCGGCCGCGACGCCGACACCCCTCCGCGCTCCTTTTAGTCACGAGCTTGCGCCCGTTACTCGATATCGATACAATTTATTTTCTTAATTATTTCTTTATGACTTTTTAAAATTAGTCAATTACTATTAAATTGTCTCTAATTATTACGGCTGTTAATAGGAAAACTTCAGTAAAGATTGTACTGATAATACTACTAAACTATTTACATTGTATGTACATTTATTTTTTTACACCAGCCTTTACAAACTTAAAACGTTATGTGAAATGTACATACATAGTATTAGTTGGTGCCAAGTTCTGTGGAAGTTATAGAATTGTAGGTACGTTACGATTGGTACGTTTTATTAAATCATTTAAATATAAAAGCTTATGATTCACAAGTTCAACCTAGTAAGATCAGAACAATATTTGGTAGATATAATATATTAGCATATGTGAAATTTTAGTGTAGGGACATCACTAGTGTTAATAATCTAGATATTTTCATAAAATATTTGCGTGACTGTATCGCACCTGATGCCAAACGATGTCGCTGCACTTTAAACTCCCGTGATTTACACAAACACTGGCCACTAACCGCTAACAAATATTGATATGAAAAACTTATTTAGATATGTGCCTTTAAGTAATTATCTTTGTGGTTAGTTAAAATACTCTCCTGTTTTCTTTTTTTAAATAACGAAGACTGCGGGGTTCATAAGCATAATTTTATTTTATTGTAAATAAAATGAGAAAGAACCTGATCAGGACTTTTCATTATTGTAATTGTTAATAGTGGTTACTATTAATTAAATAAGCCATATATGATTAGATTCATACTCAAATATTTATGTTTCTTATATTTATAACAAACTATTTTTAAAATATTTTAAATTAAATAGGTAGCTTTAGCTAAAAACTATGAGATTCTATGTTCTTCTGAGTATATTTCTTTATGTATGTTCACAGATTTATTAGTAATTTATGGACCGATTGATAAAATCTTTTTGGGGAAAGCGTATAACAGAGGTCCTATTGTCACTAAGCCCGGATCTGAACCAAATCCGTTTTATTAACCGACTTCAAAAAGGAGGAGGTTATCAATTCGAATGTTTATATATATTATGTATATATTGATGGTGTTTCAAGAAAATACGAGGGAAACTCTACTTTTTAACTAAAAAAGAGAAATAAACAATTTTAAGCTAAAAGGTAACAAACTGATTTTATTTGTCGTTAGATATGTTTTTAATAAGTTGTATTTATATACATTTGCCTTCGAACTGGTGATAGAAACCACTGATTGTTATTGAAGCTACGATTAGCTAAATTAGCTATAGTTGCTAAGGAATTTATGCTGGCCATAATACATGCCTACTTATGTGAAGCAATGGGAGAATTTCTTAACAATTAAGGTCCCTGAATCGCGAAACGCAATATTTTACAAAGAGACTATGTAACTTAGATAAATTTCACCTCCAAAAGTGAAGTGAATAAGGAAGAAGAGGAGAAGATTGTTGGTTATTTAAATTTATCATGATTTAGGCATCTTCCTTGGTTATTCTCTTTTTTTTAAAGAAATATTTAAAAGATGTTTATGTAATCAACAGCGTAACAAAGACTAAGTGTAAAGATATTTATAGAAATTATTCATAAAAGTTATCAAATATGAAGGAACTTAAATAAACTAATTAATTCTTTAAATATAAATTGGTGTTAAAACGCCATGCACTGATTATCGCCTAGACTCGTGATGTGCCTCAATTTGCATCTCTTAGTTGTTATATTCTATTCCAAGTGTAAGTATCTATTTACATGTGTAAACTGGTCAAATATTTGGTAGGTGGGTAGACATCTTTGATCAATGTTTATATCGCGAATACTACCTGTGTTACACCTTTTTATTCTTTTGTTTTATGTTTATGTACATACGAGTATACACCAATAAATCTTAAATTATGTTAATATTTTATGGGTACCATCAATAACCGTTTGATATCAACAGATGAACCGTTTGACAAGCTGTTCAAACAAAATACCTAGCTTTTTATTTTAGTCAAACCAAATCCGTTTTATTAACCGACTTCAAAAAGGAGGAGGTTATCAATTCGAATGTTTATATATATTATGTATATATATAGTATGTTCAGGCATAACTCCGTCATATATAGACGTATTTGCAAAAATTTTTTATGTTCGAAAGAGGTTTATCCCGAAATTTCATATAGATCTGATGATAACGGAACTCTTCAAAAAATGACAGCAAATTATCCGCGCTTGCTGCTAGGTTTTTAGTGCTCTTTGTTAGTAATGTTTGAAGAACTTTTTTTTAAAAAGATTTTACTTGTTTGGTTAAATAAAGCAGCTCTAAGATACCGATTTACATAGTTTTGGATTATGGCTGTTAAAAATAGAAACATTAATATCAAATTATAAAGTGATCTTTAATTTAATATCAGTCATCAATTATTTCACGGTTTACCATTTTACTGTGGAAAAAGTGGCTGTCGATTGAAAATGAATAACGTTAATGAATAACTATCGTGTTCGTCGTCTACCGAGACTGGTTATCATAACAACTATACTATAACTAATGCCTATACTTACTATCAATGCTACTAAAGTATTTTTTTCTTCATTTCGTCGCAATTCATAATTTAGATCCTACTGTGTTTAAAAAACTTGGCTGGAAATTTACGGTTTGGGTTTTAATATTAGAAGTTTAAAAGTCATTTTTACAACTATTTTTGATCCGCAAGGCAACTACTATTTCGTAGTAAGTTATATATACTCGTATATATACACACAGATAGGTATATCTAAACTCTGGCAACGGGCCAGGTACACTCAGGCGCCGGAATTCGCAGAGCGATTTCAGTACTCCATAGGGCTCAGGCCTGGGGGTGGCAGGTAAGGCCATCTGTCACCCTTAGTTAGTAGAACATTCCCACACACGAGAGGGTTCTCTTAATACAGTCGGGGTTCTAGGGATTTCCTTCACAGGGTACACCTGGTTCCCCGGCTAATAGTACCTGAGATGGTGTGCGGTTTTTAGTCGGTTAGAGTCCGACATAACCACCGGTGGGTGGTATCCGAGGGGATTGCCGCACAGAAAAAAATAAGAGGTAATATTATAATCATAAAATGGCATAACTTATGGGGTGGAACATTATTAAACGATTTTAAAAGGATATTTTTTTGTGTTTATAAATATATCTTGAAAATTTTACACACCATTAACGTTGAAAGTATTATTGCGATAAACCGACTTCAAAAGAGGCGGTTCTACATTCAAACACAATTTTTCTCTCTACATTAATCAAGTTGGTATTTTGCTGACTTGAAGCTTATAAACAAAGAGTCAACAGTCAACAGAGTCTCAAGGTTTCACGTGTATTTTAGTGTTTTCAGTTAAGTTTTTAGTCATTTATTTTTCGTTTTTAGTATTTGGTTGTTTCTTTGCAAGCTGGTTAATTTTTTTTCAAATAAAATCAAATAGGTGATTTTTTTTTTCTGGAAACGCACACTAATCTCCACAGTTGTGAAATATAAATTCAAAACTTACCTCTAGTTTTGGATTTACACTTAGAAAATAATTTAAAAGTTTTATGTAAGCTGTTTATTGAGAATTTAAAGACATTATTTTATATAAACAGTAAATCACGCTAACTTTGTTGGACACTAGTATTGCTATGAGCTCACAATTTTTGAGTAGACTCTACGACGCACTATGTCGCTAATTATATAAATTTATAAAACACGATCTTTGCGTATCATGTTTCAAATTGTAAATAATTTCTTCAAACGGTTTAATGGCTAAACGGTAGTAAAAACTCCTGTATTTTACCAAATAAATAACAATTGCAAAATAATTTTCTTGTGATCTTATGCACCTTGATTTATACACGGCTTCTAGTGTCATATAGTATCATGTATGCGTATTAATTTAATTTATTTTTGTGGCATCGGGAAGGTTTTAAATTCTCCGATTGCCAGTAACAATATAAAACGCACTAAACGAAAAAACATCTGGTAATTTCCATTTCCGAAATTACCAGATGTTTTTTTAAACTTTCACCAAGTTGTTAATAATTGAGTAACTCATCTTTAATAAATCGTTTTGAGGGGCTATTAAGAACATTAATATTGCACAAGATTGTTTTTAACATCGGAAATATGATGATGGTGATCAAATAGTTCTAGTACTTATACCATACTCCGGTAACCTGAGTGTCTCAAGGAATTCAAATAAATTTACTGGTATAAGATCATTTTTACGATATTCTTATCCGTCAAATATACTGTTTATACGTTACACCCCAAATGCTTGTAGAGAATCCTATTTATCAAGTCAAAGAACAAGTTTTCTCTCAACTCCTTACTAAGTACATCGGCAATGTGCTGCAGGCGATGAAAATATGCATGGAAATAGTTCTTATACTTACTGTTCATGTCCTTTTTTTTTTTTTTTTTTTTTTTTTTTTTTTTTTTTTTTTTTTTTTTTTTTTAACGTGTGGAAATCCCCTCGGACCGTCACCCCTCCGGGGTTTGCGGCGGGGTGGTGTGTCGGACTCGGACCGACTAAAACCACACGGTGTGCCACTCTGCGCCTGTAACAGGAGGGATCCGGGAACAGCTCTTGTTAAGACATCCGGACCCCTCCTAGCGCCAGCCCGCTCCTGGTGCGGGCTCCGTCTCAATGTGGATGTTCCTCTCTTTAGGCGACGTCCGGCACACGCGGACGCCGCCCCCTCGCGGCTGGCCAACTAATGCGGGTGGAGGGGAAACCCACCCCGTCCACCCGCGGCCACACTCAGGGCGGCATGAGGCTGTGGTAGGCGGGCCTCCGCCGCCCGGTTCGCCGGCGGCGGATCGGGTCCGAGTGGAGGTCGTCCTCCCGGGCCCTTTCCGCCGCCTCCTTCCGCGAGATTACTACCTCGCAGAAGGTTGCGACCGCGGTACAAACAACTGTCGCTACCGGCCATGGAGCGTACTACGGCCGGTAGCGAGAGATCCACTCCGATGACTGCAGTGAGGGCCCGGCGCTGCGCCGCCCATGCGGGGCAGACCGCCAGCGTGTGCTGGGCCGAGTCCTCACTGCAGTCGCAGTGGTGGCAGGCGGGACTCAGTTCCCTCCTAGCGACCGTGTGCAGGTACTTTCCGAAGCAACCGTGCCCGGAAAGCACCTGCGTCAGTCGGAAGGAAAGGGTCCCGTGCTGCCGCCCTGCCCACTCGGCGATGACCGGCTGGAGAGCCTCCACGGCGGCGAAGCCAGCGCGTGGAGTCTCCAGCCGGAACGACCAACGAGCCATCGTGGCTCGGCGAGCGGCTTCGCGCCACTCGCGCACATCCTCGGGCGGAGGGCGAAATCCGCTCTCCGCCCGGTAGTCAGCCACTCGCCGATAAACTTCGGCGAGCACTTCCGCCTCCAAATCCCACGGGGGAGTTCCGGCCAACGCGCACGCCACATCCGTCGAAACGGTGCGGTAACCGCGTATGGCTCTGACCGCCATTACCCTCTGAGGGCGCCAGAGGCGTACCCTATTCTGGGCGGTCAGAGCCGCCGCCCACACCGGTGCACCGTACAGTGCCATTGACCGGACAACGCCCGTGTACAGCCGTCTTGTCGCGACGCTGGGTCCACCCATATTGGGCAAAAGTCGCCCTAGGGCAGACGCAGCGCCGACCAGCTTTGGAGCAAGCTGTCGGAAGTGCTCGTCGAAGAGCCACCTCCCGTCGAGGATCAGGCCCAGATATTTCATCTGGGCCCGAACCGGTACGAGGACCGAGTTGACCACGATTGAGGCGCCAGGGGGTGGACCACGACGGGGCCCATGGAATAACAGGGCCTCCGTCTTATCTAGGGCCACCCGTAAGCCCAGCGCCTCAATGCGCCCGACCACCAGGGAGACTCCCCCTGTGGCCAGGCGCGCCGCCTCTTGGAAGTTTGCCCCCCGGGCTGTCACGAGGGTATCGTCTGCGTAACAGATTACACCCAGCCCGGGGGGGAAATCGGCGCGAAGGGCCCAGTCGTACCCTATGTTCCACAAGAGGGGTCCAAGAACAGACCCCTGTGGAACACCGCACGACATGGGCCGATACCTCAGATTACCTTCTCGGTCCTCGTACACGACGGTACGCTCCTCTAAATAGTCTGCCACTAGCCGCCTCAGGTACTTTGGCACCCCATGATAGTGGAGTGCTTCCCTGATGCAGCTGAATGGCAGACTATTGAATGCGTTGGCGATGTCCAGTGACACCGCCAACAGCACGCCGCCACAGCTCACGGCCTCTTCGGTCACAGCCCTCAGGCGCAACACGGCGTCGACTGTCGAACGCCCCGCCCGAAAACCAAACTGGGCGTCCGACAGATCGGGGCCCACCTCGCAGAGGTGCCGGACGATGCGGGCAGAAAGAACCCTCTCAAACAATTTGCCCGCCTCGTCCAGCAGCACGATGGGCCTATAGGCCGCGACCGAATCGGCTGGCCGTCCCGGCTTCCTCAATAGGACCAGCTTCCCGCTTTTCCAGCACTCAGGGAAGCGTCCCGACGCCAAGCTAGCGTCGAACACCTCCCCGAGGCGGTCTGCCATGTGGTTGAGGGCCAGGGCCAGCACTCGGGCCGGTACCCCGTCTGGCCCAGGGGCGGTGTTCTTGGAACGGATCCGTAGAACAGCCGCCCCTACCTCCGAATCCCGGACGGGCGGAACATTGTCCTCCCCGTGCTCCCCGTCGTCTCCGGCCAGGGAGGCCATCGACGGGGGAGTGTGTTCCGCTCGTTGTGGGAAAAGGCCCTCAACCACTTCTCGCAGGAAGCTGGGCTGGAGAGTCTCCGTAAGGGGGGGGCCCGACGCGCGGAACTTTTGTCGCACCGCGCGGTAAGGGCGACCCCAGGGGTCACGATTAAGACCCTCCAGCATCTCCTGTCTCTTTTCCTCTTTGGCGCGGCTAATGGCCAGCTTCAGAGTTTTCCGCGCCCGCCGGTACTCCTCATGAAGCCGGTCCTCCTCACCGTCTCCACGGTGACGCCGCCGACTGCGTGTTTAGGACCTCCGGGCACGTGTACAGGCCGCACGGAGGTCCGCCAGCTCCTGGGACCACCAGTAGACCTCCTTCCTTGGAGGCCGACGACCTCGAACGCGGGGCATGGCCGCATCGCATACATGCGTAATCGCATCGCGAAAGCGGCCCGCCCCCACGTCGACCTCCTCGGTCGGAGCCTGAGGAGACAGCCACGAGTGTTCATGTCCTTCCCGAACCTATTAAGGAAACAATCGCCCTGTAATTTCCTCTCAGTTCCTGTGGATCGTCTCATTTCCTGCACTTCCTTAGTACAATCAACCATATGTAGGCAATTGGAATGATAGAGTTAAATATGGGATAATAGTTCCTATAGGGAAAATGAATAAATAAAAGTCTAATCCGAAATATATTTAGATCTTTTAATTAATCACTTGTTAAAATAGTTTAGGTTAAATAAGTTTTGTCAGTGAATTATACTGTAGACATGTTATAATATATACGTACATGCATGCCCGAGTGGGCGTCAACCTCATCATTACATTCACAGGTAACCCCTTACTATCAAAGGCCAATAAAATAGTTTTTTTACTCTGTCACCACCAGAGTTAACATAGAGAGAAATAGCTAGTAGGATCAAAACAGGTTGGCTTAAGTTGAGTAATTTTCTGCGGTTCTCTGTGATGCAAAAATACTCATTAGAACTAAAGGTGTAAAAGTAACAGTAATCAGTCACACTGGTGATGTTGTACAGATCCGAGTGTTGGGCGATAAAGAAATGTACAAACAGCAATCTTTAGTGACACGTACGCGATTAGCTTCAAAGTGTTGGAAGAGCTGACTCGGAATAGGGAAGATCTCCAGGTTTGCACATTGGTTTTGGAAAAACTGACAAATAGGGTAGCTATTTGTCAGTTTTTCCAAAACCAATGTGCTTTGAATTACTATTTTCGGCTTCAGGAAGTAACTCCTATATTTTTTCTTTGTAAAAAATTGGAATAGACAATATAGTGTTGTTTTTATATGGTTACTAGCGGCCCGCCGTGGCTTCGCTAATAACTCGCTCGAAGCCACTAAAATTGCTATAGACGATGTCGTTCAATCATACATCTATCTGGCACTAACAACAATCTGACTAATAACCATATTTTTTCACTGTGCTGATCAAACAAAAAAAAATAGGAATGACCAAGTTAATACCTCACTCATCCAATCGATGTTCAAAACCAGCTACCGTACGGAAACATGGCGTCGGATTGTGTAGCTTCCATAATCCGCGGTGTGACCAAGAGCATCACTACAGAGAATATTATTTCTTCAATATTTAATCATAACTTCTACGACTGCACCCACACTCGTCATTGATAGTCTTAAGTCTGTCTGTGATAAAAAGATTAATTTAAGTACTGTATGAACTCAAACATGAAACGACAAAATCGTGTAGAATCTAGTCTTAGCTTCTGTTTCGGATTGCTACTTGAGATGGAACGTGATCCTCTATGATTATCGAAAATATTTGACGCATTTATTAGGCTGAAGTCAGGCAGATCATGTCTGATATTAAAAATTTGGAAAATTAGTAGCTCACTACAGTTTCTTGAGATAATAACAATTAGTGCAGTGGAGTAACATAAGAGGAGTGAAATCTTGTTATATATAATAATAATAGGGGTTAAAGTATGAAATTGCCGTTGTATAGTAATAGATACTTTGAATTTACATAAAACCTTCATGATGTGATATTTTCGTATGAAACTTTTTTCACGTGATACCTATGAGGTTTTTCATTTAAAAATGTGCTACATTAGATTTTCGACTTTCAATTGTTTTTTTATTCAGATCAGACGTGAAATATGGATACATGGAAAATCCGAGTCATTTTTGAATACGAGTTCCGACGCGGACCTAACGCGGCAGAAACGGCTCGCAATATCAACGATACATTTGGAGAGGAGACTGCTAATGAACGCACCTTGAGATTTTGGTTTAAATGCTTTCGTAATGCCCACACAGGTGAATAACGCTGAATTAAAGGATATGGTGGAAGCCGATCCGAGTCAAACTACCCAGGCATTAGCAGCATGGTTTAACGTTACCCTACCTCCTTAACACCTTAAAACCCATCCGCCGCATCCGCTCCACGGCTTGGGCAACCCCGGCCGATACTTTAACCTCTAATATTAATAATAGCTTCACACATCTCACACGGCATTCCAAAATTACGCATAGCCTGTACTGTGGTAACCAGACTGCTGGGGTGCTTGGCTGGAAAACCTCAACGTGGTGCACCCTGGAAACGTTGGCGAAGGTGCTGGTTTTTCCTCCGCTATTTGGAGGAGGGCGTTATCGCCAACGGCTAATATTCTAGTACGAAGAGGAGGCCATCATTTTTCTGACATTCAGTCGAGGCCTGGTCCAACAGAACGGACGTG